TACAAGCTTTTCACTTGAGATAGTGAAGAAAATTGTTTTGGAAAATCGTCGAATCACTATTAGAGTAGTTGCTGAGGATGTCGGCATATCGGTTGGTTCATGCAATGCAATTTTTTTCAAGAATTTTGGGCATGAAGCGTGTAACAGCAAAGTTCGTTCCAAAATTGCAGTGATACAAATTTACTCAGAAAGATCATAACTGGTGACGAATTATGGGTATGTAGATAGATAGATAAATTTATTGAAGTTTTCGAATTAAACATATGAAAACCTAAGCCTCTTAAGACTCTACGAGTCTGATTCAGAGAGTTTTTCGGATGACAAGGAAGATGTAGTTATACCTGATTTTAGAGAGGACCCCAAAGAGGACAATATACGTGACAATAATTCCAACCCCACAACTTCTGCCACACCAGATTAGACTCAGAATACCTCGCCATATGATGCGGATTCAGACGATGACAATATACCATTAGCAGAAATACAGGCGACTAAAATAGATATGGTGAAAATTTTACCAGTTCCTGCCAAACTAAGGGGTACAAATAGGTTTATGTGGTCAGGGAAAAAAGTCACAATTCATGGTACACCAAAAAGAAATCTTGTCTTACCTGGAAACAAACATGAGGCAAAACATATAAAATCGGAAACTGATGCGTGGATATTATATTTTTCAAAAGAAAATCTAGATTAAGTCACACAATACAGGGTGTTAATTAAGTATGTACCATAAATTCAACAGACGATTCTTTAGGTAATTTTAAGACGAAATGTTCATATAAACATAGGTCCGCAAATCCTTCGTTCTCAAGATACAGAGTGTTAAAATAAAAATAAAAAAAAGTTATTCGTAAATATCTTAAATATCCTTCACCTGATTTATTAAGTCCAGTGGCGTCTCGAGCGGGATTTGAACGAATATTTTTGACTTAAAAATGTACGTCACTGACTTTTGTGCAATTTTTATTACTTCTTTGGATTAAGCAATTAGAAACACCTAAATTTTTTTTGTCTCTTGATTTTTTTCGTATCTTGCTTAGTTTTTAAGAAAAAAAAGTCGACCTAATTGCATATCCCTGGACCTCACAAGGAATAATATGGGGAATTATTTTTACTATTTTTCATTACTAGTTATGTAATAATAACAACATATATTAAATAACATTAATATCTAGATTAACCAATTGCACTAAATTAAGTGTTGGAAATGGGCTCCTTCGGCATCAATACTACCGTCTAGCAGCCGCATCATTGAATTTCGCCCTGTATACTAATAATAAGTACAAGTTCAACGATTGAAATATGGAAATAGAAACCATGAGATAGATGCTGACGGAGATGATGATACGCCAAGAGACTATCTTGGACCAAGGATACAAACAGTGTTGAACTTCAAGCAATTTTCGGACTATTTTATTATGCCGGTGTTATGAAAATGTCCGGAGTATTTACGAAGGAACTATTTGATGAAGACATAGGAATACCTATATTTCGTGCCCGAGGCACGTTTCAGGTTTTTGGTAAACTGCCTCCACTTTGACGATAAAGAGACCAAATCTCAGAGAAAAGAAACCGACAAGCTTGCAGCTTTTCGAGAGATATTTGAGAGGTCAATCAATAAAATGAAGGAGCTATATGTTCCCTCGGAATATATAACAATTCATGAACAATTGGTTGGTTTTAGAGGCCGATGCCCTTTCAAAATGTACATCCTTTCAAAGCCCGATAAGTATGGAATGCCAAAACCGTTTTTGCCCTTGATGATAAAATTTATACAGAAAAAGGTTCCACACCAACCGATGTTCCTATCGCTCAGTATTACTGTAATAAACCAACCAATTATTTCCAAGGAACAAATAGGAATTTGACCTTGGATAACTGCTTTACTTCTGTTGAGACTGCAAAACAACTTCTGGAGAAAAAAAAGCCATTGCTTCTATGCGGAAAAATATAGCGAAGATAAAAAATCAAGAGTAAGCTGTGCAGTGTGCAAAAGTCCATTTGTTTACAACATAAAAAAAAATTGCTCGATTTGTGCAGAATGACTAACTCATGATGTAGAGGCTTAGTTTAGGTTGCTATTCTCCTATAAGAGAATACATTTCTATCAAAAAATTGATGTATGTAGCCGTTACTACGTGGTAGGAGATCATAATGAAAAGAGAAATGAAAATTTCTATGTTTTTTACCACTTTTATTTGTAACTAACGTTAGAATTGAGTTTGAGAATGTCCATATAGGATGAAACTGCAGTAACGTCAGTTACAATCAAAAGTGGTAAAAAACATAAAAATTTTCATTTCTCTTTTCAATACATTTCTAGTTTGTAGAAATACGACCTATTTTATTTGGAGTACACCAGTACCCCTGAATAGCAGATGCGTGTTTTGCAATGAGTGTAGCATTCCAGGGTTGAATTTGTATATCCCAGAAACCAAAAATTCAACTATGATTACTAGTAAAAATCCCTCGAATGATTGAAATAAAACTTTTGAACCAACTTTTTGTGCAAATAGTTTTGACATATCGATGCTTCATTAGATATTGAAAAATGTATTTCAACCACTTCACAGTTTACAAAAATTGTAATTATTCTTGACAAATTGAGATGAAAAAGAAAAAATTTAGTTTTTCGTTAACTCAAAAACTATCAATATTCAAAAGTAGTATACCTATGAGTCTTCTATGCCACAATTGGTTTTGCTTCAAAACCCCATACGAGGTAGCATGGAAAATCTATACGAATTCGGGCTGGCCTCATATGATTTCTAGCTGATCTAAAAACCCCATGTGGTCCACTCTGAATCCAACCGCGGTCGCTTTGATAAGAGGCCGATGCATTAGCTCTACACCATCGCTCTGCAACGATACATCAAAAAATGTAGATGCTATGATACCGATTCTGTATAGCAAGATACATTGAAACCCTAGTGTTTCAACCGATACGATTTTGTTTAATTGAAAACTCTCTATAGGAGAAACTGGATTTACCCAACACATGGTAAATCCAGTTGATATATGGTGCAAGAACCGAAATCTGTCGCTCATATTTTGTTCAGATATTCAATTCATTTACCACAATGTGAATAAATATTTCACTCAATATCAATTTGTTTCCAAATGTAAACAACATTGAAAATTTAGGTCCCAACCCCCCACTGTCAAACAGTGTTACTTGAAGTGTACTTAGCACCTCTATGAATGAGAGGCTGAAACTCTTTAGTATTTCGTCATGAAGAGAGCCACAGGTCGAGGTTTTTTGACAAAATATTTTATATGGAGAGTTTAACATGGTCGCGGCGGCATGACCGGAGATCTCTCTTGTGTTGACATGGGGTGTATTAGATGGGGGGGTTATTGTGTGGTATGGGGGTGGATTGGTGAGTATTATAGTAAGTGTGTAGCATTGGCTTGCTATTGGAGGAGCAAAAGCCATAGTTGGAGTGTTATTGGTTACCCTGAGCCAAGGGGGTGAATTGAGGTGTTGATGTTGGACGTTTTCGGGTGGGCTTTAGAGTGAAATGTCATCGGATGGCTGCCATCATTGTTTACAGAAAAGAAGAGTTTTTGATTGTCGTAAGAAACATAGATATGTGCTGAGATGACACTGATGGGCATACATGAGTTGAAATCGCTGCCGAGTGGAAGATGCGTCCCGATTGTTCTTCATTGAAAAAAATGAAAAAACAGTAGTCGTTTATCAAAACCTCGACTTTGATAGCGGCGAAATTACACAGCGACAATTCTGAAATGAATACCAAATAAACGTGGTGTTTACTATGGAGCGGATGGAGTTGTTTACTTCATCTAGAGCTGACAAAGGAATCGTTTCGAATTGTTTACTTTCCATGAACGACATAGTCGTTCATAAAAAATAGAGCAATTTGTGTTGAGATCCGAGATAATTACATTATCACAGACAAGTCGATTCCACAATATCACAAAAAATAGACCGATAGAATTGTTTACTTTATTGTTCGCGGAAAATCACGCAATTTGGTGTGAGTGGAATAATCTAGTATTGAATTTCGGTAGTTTGAAACGCGGCCACTCGGCCGAAATGGCACTGCGAATGGACGATGCGTGCATGTGTTGCGAGCAAGCCCTGTACTGTACACTGGCGCCGCACTTTCGTTACCAGTTTGAAATGATCTGTGAAATTATGAAAGAATTGCAAATCGGGCGGTTAGCGCGCAACATGTTGTGAAAAACTCAGATGGGGAGCGCGTGAAGTTCAAATGATATACATGTGGACGACTGGGTTATTGGAGCCAGGGAGAGAAATCGATTAACATATAACTGACGTGAACTAAAAGAATTTGCTGCTGAAGTATGATCTCTAGCAGAAGACTTGTAATTTACGAAAGAAAAACTTGTGTTTCCAGCAGTTCTTGAATGGTTCCATTGTCTCGTGATATAGTAATCGAATTCCTTGACACAACAGTTGTTTCTCAACCTCAACACTAGTACCAATTAGAGAAATAGCTTCTTAGCTAATTTGTTTCATATTGGCGTCCATTCTGAACATTATTTAGGTCATCAACAACCGAGTAACGTTCAAAAGGCAGCAGTTTGTTTTGAAAATCCAATAGGCAGGCAGTGCATGACTTGGATTCAAATTATCAGAACCAGAGAAGGACGATTCACAGTAAGAACAAAGTTTCCAACTCCAGCTGATTTTCAGGACAAATAACATCATTTATGTAAAAACCACTTCAAGAAAGAATTAATTTGATTTCAACTTTTGAAACTGAAACCGCATATGAAACTCATAATGTATTCATAATGGCATGTGTATACAATTTATGTAATGTAGTCAATGCTTGAATAAAGGGTGGAGAAACAAATACGAGTCTTATTGCACCAAATACACTAAGAAAAATCACCGAAAGGATTCAGTAGATAGGAAGCAAACGATAATCCTTTTGTGTGAGTTGTGTACTATTTCTCTTTGTATAAATTTTCATTTAATAAATAATAATGATTTTCATTTGTTTCAGAAATACCGAAAAACGAAGACAGAGCGTCTGAGGAGGTGAGTCACATATTATCCGTTTAAATAGGTATCTTTCAATTTTCGAAGGGATTGAAACAACTTTCAATGCAAACAATATTGTAACGAATTAAAGAATTAACTGTCTTAAACAAATTTATTTTAACAATACTTCACTATCACAACTAATTTATTTACACCACACAGTAACTAACGCTTAATTTATCTTCACCGTTTGTTAACCGCTCGATTCGCTTTTTTGGTATAGACTGCCCTTCGGGACTAAGAGCGACGTTTTTATATTGTCAACGAACGTTCCGGATCCCTCTGCGGATTTCGGGACCCATCCGGATTTTTCGCGGTACTTCGCGACGCGCCATGCGCCCGCCGACCGGGACACCGGCCAGGGCCGGTCTCAGATTCATTACAATATATTTAATTGAATTATAGGATATTTTCACTTTCTGATTGAAATATTTAGTACTTTTATATACTCTATTTTTGTGAATAATGTGAAAATAAATCTCAGTAATCTGAGAGATAGGCATTTACCTTACATTCTTGAACCAGTTCAACTGCTAAAACCTAGTTGTAGACTGACTAGGATTCGAATAAAATATTTTCAGTATTTATGTTTGCTGATTTACACAAAAAATATCTATCGAAGAAGATGCTTCTCGGTTTCTATAGTTCTATATACCTTGGCAACATCTACTAAAATCCCATAGCAATAGTCTAGAGATGGAGATTTAAAGAGTATTCTACTCTTTAAATCTCGTTGCAAGACTGGACCAACTATTTGCAAATCGTTCAGCAATTTGCCAGATCTAGTGAGCAATATACAATCGCACAAACAACTTTGTAGTAATGCTGTCTTATCCTCAAAGCAAACATATTGTTTTTTCAACCTCACTAGGAGCACATGAAAAGACTTCAATATGTGTATTCCAGAGACTGGGGAAGTCGGCTTTCAATATTCATTCAGAGGTTCTGAGTGGAACAAACTCAATCCTAACAAAATAGGTGTTACCAGAAATGTTCCGTTACGTTAAAGGTCAAAACGAGCCAAAGCTTTTCTTGGGCATTCAGGTTACTATCGAAGTTTCATTCGAAATTTTAGATAAATTTTTCCACTTGTTTAAAACTTGCAAAAATCTCTTGACGAATGAGCCAATCATACAGTGACTTCACATAAATCTTCAAGCTGATAACAGACGATTCAAACGTAGTTTTAGGAGTGGTCTTTTCACAATGTACTATAGTTGAATAGATAGAAACATAGATAGATAATTCATTGGTGTTTTATACATTCATCAGTATTTACACAAATCAATACATATATTTTAATAAAATTAGCATGTCAGGCATCTATTAATATTTACATAAACAAAATATGCTTGCAATAAAAATAACAAGGTTTTTGTAAAAAATATTTATGTCTTATACAGTACCTACACCTGAGTTATGTCGACCACATTTGAAACAAAGCAGTAAAATTTAAAATTGGGAAGTATAAAACAACGACACATGTCTAGATGGTTGAAAAACTTATTAAATGGATTATTAGTAAGGATTCACTGTAAAATTTCACAGCCCAAAATTTGGTGCATTTTGACTTATTTTCAAGCGGCAGTAGTTTGTGCTCAAATCATTTTTATGCCTAGTCTTGTGGTCGTGGACATTTTCAAAACTTTCATATTGAGATAGATTACTTTTTACAGTAAAATAGATTAACGGGGTCTCTCAGTCAAAAAATCAAAACTCTGCTCTACTTCGCCAAGCTTCCGCTTCTAATGGGAAGCTTTTTCAGGGCCTATAATTTATTGAGTTGTGATTTTTTTTGTCATTAAATAACTTTACAAATCATTCTTAGAGTGAAAATGAGTGAAAAATAATGAATTGAACATATAAATTGACGAAAGAAAAGTTAAAAATGTATAGGATTTATTTGATTTGACAAATGTCATACCTTCACACAAATGTCATTTTCTCTAAAGAGAGAGTTGATTGATACAATTTTCATTATTATCATTTTGTTTTCTGGTGTAGTTCCAGTAAGTTACTCTATATACTGCTAAGATTATCAGTGTCAGTTTTTTTATTCATACTATCGGAAGACTTATTAATTTCAACCATTTCAAGGAAAAGGCATTTGGAAATACTTTTTTTCCGTGTGTAAAACTTTGATATTAGAGTAATTTGGTTTATGTCCGGTTTCTATAAAATGTCTCGCTAATGCACACACTTTCTTATTAGGCTTTATATCACTTTTATGTAAAGTTATTCTATCTTTAAGAATTTTAGATGTTGTTACAATATAATCCATGTTACAATTGTTACAAGGAATGTTATAAATCACATTTGATTGGTATTCGACACCAGAAAACATAATAATAATGAAAATTGTATCAATCAACTCTCTCTTTAGAGTCAAGAAAACTGACATTGATAATCTCAGCAGTATATTCAGTAACTTACTGAAACTACCCCAGAAAACATAATAATAATGAAAATTGTATCAATCAACTCTCTCTTTAGAGTCAAAGATTATCAAATCATCATGCCCATTGAAATGTTTGACATTTGTCAAACCGAAAAAATCCTATACATGTTCAACTTTCTTTCGTCAATTTATATGTTCAATTCATTATTTTTCACTCATTTTTACTGTAAGTATGATTTGTAATGTTATTCAATGGCAAAAAAATCCACAACTCTATAAATTATAGGCCCTGAAGAAGCTTCCCATTAGAGGCGAAAGCTTGGCAAAGTAGAGGAGAGTTTTAATTTATAATTTTTTGACTGAGAGACCCCGTTAATCCATTTCACTGTACATTTCTCCAGTCGCAAAGAATCTCAACTTCGATTATTTTTATGTACATTGAATTTTCCATGAAACAGAGAGAAGGATAGGTTCGTATTTTTGAAGTAACGAATGAATTTCGACATTCATTTCTGTAGTTGATATTCTCTAATATTCCAATTGCTTTCTGTTGGTATCGGAATATTCTATCACACTCTATAGCCTACGCGTTCAGAATGACTCAGTGATTGAGTAAGAATTTTTAGCTATCGTATGGGCAACAAAATACATCAAAAAGAACCTATACGGACGAAAATTCAATACTGTGTCAGATCACGAACATCTTCTGTACTTATTTTCATTAAGAATTGATGAGATGAAGAATCAACATTAAATATCAATTTTCGAAAATTAATAAGAAGAATAAAGTAAATACAAACGCGGACATATGCTTAGAGATTCATACAAAGGAAACTAGATCATTTTGGAACAAACTAGACGACAAAATAATTGAATCCTCACCACTGTATAGGTAACCCCTGTTCCAATTGATCGAACAGACCAATATTTTATCATCCCTATATATCAGCCGTCCAATATTCAAGACTTGGCCTATTTTTCAATAATAATCAATATTGGCAATGACAATAATGACATACATGATGCAAATGACTATATTATTGAAAATAACCAACCATCTATTGTTATTGATCAACCCACTGTTGAAAATAAACCAACTATTGTTCATGACCAAATACATAAATAACCAATCAGTCACTTGAAATGATCAACCATCTATCGAAAACAACAACGAACAATGCCATGATAATCAGGTCTATGCAAATCATACCATTGAATAACACCCAATTATATACAGATTACGTTACGAAATATGGACAAAATAAAATTTTCTTCACCTCATTCACCCGAAATATCAGACAAAAAAGCCCTTTATTGCCGATTATCCGGAATCTCAGCGACTCCAGAAAATACTAATAATAATCCTATGATAATTTCAGTCAAATTTGGCACTGCAAAGGTTTATTATCATTTTATTTTTCACTACTGTGGCTTAAATTCAATCATTTCAGAAATCAACACACTGAAAGTGAAATCTAAAAAGCTTGTGAGTTCAGAATATGAAAAAGATACGTCCAACTACTTGAAAATATTGAAATTTATGGAGACAATGATGAATATGAACTTATCGAAATTATTCCTCAGCCTGTGAGAATCGAAAGAGTACTCATCAATGAGTTAAGATCGATTTTCAAAGAAATCAGAGAAAATTTAGATAAGAACGATGACGAACGTTATGAAAGAATCATTAAAAAATTGAGGCAAAATTAAAATATACATATTAACATCGAGCTAACGAAGTAAAATTTGCTATTTGCTATTTTCAAGAATGATACATTGAACAGTACTATTCAGCTAATAAATCATAATGAAAACTGATTTTAGCAAACATCAATCAAATTTCTGGAATAGTTGACAGTAGAGTATACTGGGAAAACTTAAATTTCACTGAAGACATAATGAACGACAAAATTATAATATTCTAGACAATTTAGTAATTATATACTATAAGACATTGAAAACTAATTATTTTTTGCAAATATCGAACTTGTGCATCCAACCATTATGAAAACCACAGATCTCCTGGTAGATCTGCTGTCCAAATTAGATTAAAGAACGATCAACTACCAGTCATAATCATGCTTGAAACTATTATGGTGAATAATAAAATAACACTCATCCTCCACATATGAAAATACGTTATCCCATATATGCTCTCTGAGGACCCTGTCCCTCCATGCCCCCTCCCGGGTTGAGTGCCCTGAGTTGAAATCTTCCCCATCTCGTCCATCCACCCCCACTCTTATGAGTGAACCTCAACCTACTGATGGGCACTTCAGCAAGATTGACATCTGACCTACTGCTGTCGAAAGTCAGCCTTTAGGTGCTTTTACTTCCTTATCTGGTATTTTATTACATCATGACTCCACTTGAGTAATTTATTCAAAAATTCATTTCAAAAAATCGCTGTATACGCTGTACCTCTGTTGGTCAACTACCCCATCCTGTCACAAACGATCCTCAGACGTAAAGTGGCGATTTCAATTTACGACCCGTCAGAACAATTATCAGGAAAAACAATGAAATATAACAGAACTTTCGCAGCGAGCTTCAGCTAGAACCTATCCCGTTGCTTTCCTATAAATTGGGAAAAACCCTGAACTCTTTATTGCCCATAAAGAAGCTTTACCTCGAATTGAACATATACTTTTCCAATAATTGCACAGATCCGTATTCGGTTAACAGACCCAAATCATTCAGTTTCATTCTTCCTTCGTCTCAAATTAACCTTAGTGAAATAATATTCGTTTACCATTGGTGAGTTTATCATCAGGCAAGCATTTTTGAAATCATGATTCTTAAATATAATATAAATAGTTTTTCAACATGGATCTAATATATCTAAACATGTTTCCATACAAGAAGTTAGGCCAAAACCTCCTCTTTTATCTGTTTGATATGTGGGTAGGTGTACTGAAAACGTTAGTGGCCTTAGATGTCTTATGGAATGTCCAATCTTCAGGAAATACTTCCTGAACACGTGTTCGTTATCAAATCTGAAGAGCCTATAACGCGCTAATCCATTTTATTTGTACAATATTTTGAACTCTGGAACATTTTCCAAACATTGTTAAACACGTTTTTGTCGTCCCGTTTGTCATGATCTTCACTAGCTTGAACCTATTCTGTATCACTTCCTACTTCTCAATTAATCATACATGACATTCCTGAACACCGCGTTATTGTTTAAGATTGAATTTCGTCCCACACACCTATGATTACACCCTTTCTAACAAATGCTTCATCAACTTTATTTAAATGTTACTGGAGTTTTAATCCCAACACTAAACCGTTATTTTTAACACTTCAACACGTGTTTCAATCACCAAGAGCAAGATCTCAATCTTCCTCTTGGTGACTGGAAGATGTATATCTTCCTCTTGAAGATGATCACTTGGTAATTGAAACACGTGTCGAGGTGTTATAAATAAAGATTTGGTATTGGGATTAAAACTCCATAACATTCATTACTACACCAAAGTTTCCAAAAAGTGCATCACAAGAATTTTATTTGAAAAAAAACCTCGAACAGCCCGTGTTCATCTCTACATATTTCAGCATTTTCACAAACGGATGTGATTTTAAGATTATTCATTTCTTGAATAGTGTTGTACATCATGCCCGAGAGAAAATAACGCCGGCCGCCACTGGTAACCCTAAACCAAACGTGACGTAGCTAAGAGCGCGGGAATGCACATTGTTCCCTACCGTTCGAGAAGCAGTGAGAATAATGCTACCGATTTGGACGGAACTTCGACGAAATTTCTACGGTATTCGATTATGATATTCAAAGGTGTGTATTCACCAAAAAAGCGAGCACGAGCGAACAAGAGTGAACGAGCATTCTGCATCAATTGATGTATCGCCTTCTTCTCGATCTTTTCTGAACGCGAACAAGCATATGTTCGCTCGCTCGCTAGCCCGTACTCACCAGACGATTATTGATGCAGAATGCTCGTTCACTCTTGATCGCTCGTGCTCGCTTTTTTTGTGAATACGCACCTCAAACGCTAGCTGCGAGCGTATCGAGACAGTCAAGTGGAAGATACAGTGCGATACGCGAAGTGATCTAGTAAGGCAATAGACATTCAAATAATATCTGAAGTTTAATTGAAGTGTTTGTTGTATTTAAAGTGAAATAAAGTTAAGTTCAATTATTCAGTGTAGTCAATTATTGGTCACCGGGGAAAAGCATAACAATATTCACTATGGGGCTGTTCACTCATCAAAATTATCTTTGCTTTATGACTGATTTCTTTTTTGGTCGATTGAAAGTAGTAGAAAACTGCGGATTCCTGCAAGAAATCTGTCTATTTCTCAGTTCAAGTACACAGCTTTGTTTTTCTTGGCCGATCAAGTGAAGCTATGCCACAACTACGCTGTAAATGAATGAACAAACGGCACTCAGGATCATCCTTATGAGATGAGACGTATGAATTACTTTTCCACTCCTTCTTTGTTAAACGTGGTGAAATCCATTCGTTGGTGACAGTATCACTCTCACTCATTTGGAAACTACCTATTTTTGCAAAGCTGTGACGACAATGCGATTATCAGCATCTCATACCGCCTCTATCACTTGAGTAAAAGAATTCAAAAATATTTTTATCACCTCATCGTCAGGCTTCAGAACCTGCAGACCACCGCCAACAAACCCGAAAAATAGTCTCTATCAGGGGACTTATCACATGATAGTCACGATCTAAAAAAGAATTCTATTTTTTTCCGAGAAAGCAACCTTTGTCTAATTTCATCGATCTCTAAGTCTTATAATTTCCGAAATGACAATGATGGAATTAGCTAAATAAACGGTCCGATGGTGATTTTCACATCATCACAAAACAGTGAAAAGAGTGACAAGAGAAACTTAAAAAACCTAATAAAAAATGTATCACACAAAAATTGATGAAATCAATATAAATCTAAAATCTGTTTAAAATCTGTTTTTCCGTTAATCAGCTGTCGCCCCCATACGAACGACAACTCTCAGAAGTTAAGATTTTTGTACGAGACAAGGACTAACGAGGTCTTACCTTTCAACGTGTGATTCCTAACACGGTTGCAGAATCATTCCAGTTCAACCAGATAAATTCTCTCGAGAAAAATATCTGGTCGAGGCGGAAATCGAACCCACGGCCTTCCGATCGTGAGTCGGGCGCACTACCACGGCGGCCAATTCCACAACAAGGAAGTATCCATTGTCCTAACTGATAAAATCATTAGGAATTCAGGATCTATATTCATTCTTTGATCAATATTGAGTAGCTAAACCATATTTTGTTGAATATTCTTAGAAATGTGTTGTGGAAATGAATAATTTTAAAGAAGTGAATATTATTTATTTAAAATATTTGTTTATGTTCATGTTTATGGAGATGCGGCAGCCCAAAAGACCCCATTTCTGGGTGCGCTAATGATCACATATCTGGACATTTCAATTGGGTGAACATTTTTAATTTGACACAACTTTATTCTTTGATGTCTGTCTTGCAGATGGGTTTTACGCTTGCTATTGTATCCAGATCAGTTATTGTGGTTTGGTGAGAGATCACCACTATCAAATATCACAAGAACCGAATTGAACTATGGAGAATTCAGTATTTACTATCAGACTTCAGTTTTCAAAAGTTGAAGTTTTTGATATTTTTATTTGGTGGATGTGTAATTTCTATTCTATTAGACTTGCTTTCCAGAAATGCTTTATATTAGGTATATTATTCCTTTCTGCCTTCTTTTTTTTATTATTTTGTCCCATATTTTTCATTCACTTCTGAACGTAGAGGTTTATTGAAATGGTTACGAAAACTTGAAGAATGCTTGAAGAGTTTCTTGTGATTTTTTTCTGATTTGGGTTTCCATACGGTTCTCAAAAATATAACATTCTATACTTCAACTTTTCGAAAAATAGTTGAATCAATTACTCATTTCGACACAATTCAAGATTATATTGAGAAAAATAGTAATAATGATTTGGATTCTAGTGTATTCATTATGAAGATATTCTTCAATTATAAACTAGTAACGCGTAGTACATGACAAGTATACGTTATAATTATTTCAATTTTCAGTTTCAGGATGGCAGCGTTCAAGAACTTGAAAATTTGAAGAAATCCATAGGTGAGTAGACTTGGCGAAAAATTATTTCCCGGACCCTTCGATTTGAATCAATTGGTAATTTTTTGATTCCACAGCCCTCAAAATTATTCATATCCACTGGTAATATTTTTTATATAACTTTCCAGAATTGGTAAAATCAAGATCAATAGAGAAGTGCAATAAAAACAAATTGGACAGTTCACTTCGAAAAGTTACTGCATAAGAAACTTTCTAAAAACTTTCAGAAATCATCAACTGACAAAATATTTGACCACTTTCAAAAAGCAAGTTCTCCAGATTTTTTTTCATTATCACTGAATCTAATTGAGAATGCTGTGGAATACTTCAAGGGAAAATATATTCCTCATATATACGTACTCATATGTACGTACTGGTAAGTCCTAGGAAGATAAAATTTGGTCTTAGATGCGCACTCAGAAAGGACTTTCGAATATTTGTACTGGGGTTCCACCCTGGGAATAGAAGGGGTGCGTTTACGTACGACAATTACCTTTTCATCACTGTTTCTCCGCATTGATATATTTTCGGAGGCTGAAATTTTGTATGTAGGTTTGTTTTGTAGATGTGAAATAAGAAAAGGTTTTCAAATATTTCCATCTGGGCCCAGCTACGGAAAAGAAAGGAGTCTACATGCCCCTAAATTTTCGGTGGGTGAATTCATATTTAGTATCAGCATTGCTCCCGTGCGGAGCCGGGGCGGTTCGTTAGTATCAACATATAATACAATACAGGACTGATATAACATTTATAACAACACATAATTTCGGACCACTCGAATAAAACGTTTCAAAAATAAGATGAAGATATCGTAACGATGTATTCGTCACTTGAGATCATAATTTGGATAACATAAACTCATTTGAATTGAAGGGGTTATATTTTTAGGAGTGATGTATTTTTTGGGAAAGAAATTTTTTGGCTTTCTACTACTTAGGAGGACTTTCTTTCAGTTTGTGTCTGAAAGTTACTTCTTTGCATGATCTACACATTCATGTACAGAGTTTCAAATTGATTACTTCCTTCCTTTCTTTGGAAGATTCTCTCATTCCTTTTTTTTGTATCAGGTGGAGTAGTAGAAAGCCAAAAACTTTCTTTCCCATAAACTCATTGTTCAACTATCAATACACTATTGTATCAAAAATTTGGCGAAGGTGCTCAGTTAATGAAAGTTGTGAAGAAAATTTGTTAATAAATGTTACATTTTCTTCAATCATCATAACATTCAGTTGTCAATACCAAAAACATCTATTTATACATTATGCTAAAATGGGACATTTCACGAAAAAAATCATTCGCTACCATTACCCTTTACTTTAGGAGAGCCCATTACATGGTCATTTGTGGAATGGAGGTCATAGTCATAGACAAAAAGTGCCTAACAGTCTTTTTAGATTTGGCGAAAGCCTTTGACACTGTCAATAATCACATCTTACTGAGGCGTTTAGAATTCATTGGAGTAAGAGGAATCACCCTTAAGCTTTTTGAAAATTACTTATCTGACAGAAATCAGATTGTTAAAATCAACAATATTTACAATGATCCACTACCTATAACCATGGGCGTCCCCCAGGGGACGGTACTAGACCCAATTTTGTTCTTAATATACATCAATGTCATTTACAAACTTGAAAACATCCAAGGCAGCATTATATCGTATGCAGACGATACAGCTCTGTCATTTCTAGTCGATACCTGGGACGACGTCTTTGAAAGAGATGAAAGAGGACTCACATCTGTTTTCTCTTGGTTAAACACAAGTCTTTTGAGCCTAAACATCGCTAAAACTAAATACGTAACATTTATCCCCACAAATTAAGATCAACCTTCCAAAAATAAGCTCACTATACACAACCCTATTTCCCAAACCCTGATATGTTCATGTTCTACAGTTGATAAGGTAAACAACATGAAATATCTTGTTGTGTATGTAGAGCAACATCTACGATGGGACGAACATGTAGACCAGACCGTTAAAAGACTTAGTAAATTATCTTATAAATTCTACCAACTCAGAAATCTCAATAATAAAAAGCTACTAACAATGATATATAACACACTCGCAGAATCAGTTCTGAGATATTGCATTATAATATGGGGTGGCGTCAGCAAAAGCCTGTTACATAATCTAGAGGTAATGCAAAATACTATCCTGAAAATCATTTTCAATCGTAAATAAAGATACTCCACTGTAGCACTATTCAAAGTATCAGACTTATTTGATGTGAGAAAATTATACACTTATCACTGCATATCATGGATGCATAATAACCCCACCCCCAATATAAATCATAATTATGAAACCCGAGCCAAACTTCATCAAAAAACGAATGTCCCTCGCTGTAGATTAATTTGCACTCAGAGATTTCTTTCATACTCTGGCCCAAAACTAATAAACCTACTTCCTTAGAGCAATCTCCAATAAATACAAATTCAAGTCAAAACTGAAAGAACATGTGAATCAAAACTATGACATATTGAAATCTGTCTATGAACTGGATTCATAATTGAAGTTCTCTCTAGGCTGTGAATATAGGCTACATCCTATTGTAGGTAATATCTTGAATTAGTAGAACAATCCAACGTCACCTTCTCTTCGAATATTACTCTCTCTTTCCACCAGTTTTCCTTCCTTCCAACTATTTGTATCAGTTGTATTAGCATTGTCAGTATGAGTGTTTGCTTCATTATGCAACAATGATACCTCATTTATATGTATGTGTTTATGTATGTATATGTGTATATAGGTGTGTATATACATATGTATATATGTGTATATGAATATATATGTGTATACATGCATATACACATATATAAACAACGTTGAAGTTGTTTTTAGGTTCATACTACAGCTCAAGCTCTGCTTAGGTAGATCAGCCTTCAAAATTGTTTATTTTTCATTCATTGTTATACCATTATCAAAATATGTAATTACCTGAATAAATTTATCTATCTCTATATCTAGTTCTTCATATGTTTCGAATATGAAGACTAAAGAAATCTAGTCAAACAAATTCACAATATTCATTGCATCGTACTTAAAAAGTGCGCGAATAAACTCCCACTAGTATTTTGCAGACCTTTCAACCTGTCTTACAAGAAAGGGGAGTTTCCTTCTTGTTGGAAGATTACTCGCGTTCAGCCTATTCCCAGAAAGGGCAAGAAAATTCTTCTGAATAACTATAGACCGGTCGCAGTAATATAAAAAAATCATGGAAAGAGCCGTAAACTGCCATATCCTTAAATATTTGGAAGGCTTTAACTTCTTGAGCGATCGTCAATATGACTTTCGAGAAGAAAGATCAACAGGCGACCTTCCATGGTATGTGGAAGTCGAAAATTGTTCGAGCTGACTAACGAGGTCTTACCTTCTAATGTGTGATTCCTAACACGAGTTGGACGATAACGAGTGAACATCGAGCATTCTGCCTGTGGCTTGAACCATCGACTCACCCATCGGCCGATTGACTGAGTGAACAAGGCACCCACGTTGAACCGTCCGGCTACCGACCGACCATATTTCGAATAATGCAATCGAGAAAGAATACTTAGTGATTCCCAGGGATCGATATCGACTCCAACCTGTGGACTTGACTTTTGGAAAAAGGCAAGAATCCAATATATTGCTTTGCTGACGACAGCACACTTGTCTCGTCATTCCATTTGGATTCCAGGATATCGGCTGCATATCAGATGAATATCTTCATCGGCAGCAGGAGGTTGCAATATCGAATTGGGGTGAAAATAACCTTCAACCTGGTTATTTTCACCACGAAAACCCAGGCATCGGTTTTCTTCAAAGAGGTAAATGTCTGCGAACCGGATATAATAATGTCAGGACAGAAAATTCCGCTTTCTGCTTCGATAAGTTTGTTGGGGGTAAACTGCACACCAACTAATCTGTCTTGGCACAATCATGTCGCTGGAATTGCAAAGGCTGCCTTCCAAAACCTTGGAACACTGTTCCGAACCAGAAAACTGTACAATCCCCAGCGGCTTTTGATGCTTTACAGAGCTCAGATCAGACCTTGTTTGGAGTATTGTTCACATGTATGGAGCTGTTCAAGAACTCTTTCAATTGGAGAACTGCGTTTTTTTTTCCTCTAACGACATTATCTTCAATCCATCCCACATCCATTACACAGCTCGCTTTTATTTTGTATGGAATTCATGTCGAAAACAAAATGTTCATCAGGAGTATGTATATGAATTTCTTCTATTATTTCAGTGAAACTGGGAAAAACATTGGACCTAATGAAATCTCAAGCTACCGTCTACACAGATGTTAATGGAGATAGGCAGTCACAATCTGAGATAAAGGAGGAAGGTAACTTGACGGATTTACAGAAATTTCTCTCTCATATGCTTATCATCATCGTGTATACTCTCTGAAAAATTACGTTTACTTTTTAAACATTTAAAATCAATTAGAGATGAACTTCTTGTTCTAAATTCTGATTATGACTTTCATTGAAACAATCTATGTGTAAATCTTTGGTATAAACAATATATAAAATGAAAATATATATATTGAAATGTTCTGACCCTTCTGGACCTGTACCTTGAGGACGTTGCTTTAATAGCCATGTTCCGATTGCGCACGGCTGGTGTAAACCTCGAAGTAGGAATGGATCACTGCGCAACCTCCGCTGCAGGAAACCAGTGATGCAATTGCACCCAGGTTTGTGTTCAATAAACCCTACAAAATACAAATAAAACAGAACACAGAGTCACATGCCACAAATGCAATACGCATATATACATACGGCCCTTTACACCAAAGAAGGCTCAGGATGTAGAGTGTACTCTAGATCACTAAGCCTAAGGATTAAGTGGGGAATGGGAAAAAATACCAGCGTGGTTCAAACAGATCTGGCTGGTATCTCGATCGCCACAAAAGAAATAACCAGAAAAGGAATTTCTGGCAAAAACATAATAGTCTGCAATGATAGCAGTCAAGCCATATTAGCCTTGAACAGATAACGTGTTACCTCAGGGCTAGTACTAGAGTGTCACCAAGAGTTAGCCAAAGCCTCGGTAAATAATAACATTATCCTGAAGTGGGTTGAAGGGCACGACAGAGTAAAGGTAATCGCATTGCCGACTCTTTAGCTAAGGAAGCGGTTAGAATAAGAATTTTAGGAACCAGTGGCACCTACGGCCTGATGACTTCGACAATTGCAGATAATAATTGGATTTAATCTAGGAGGATAACTCCTCGGGAGAATGTACAATGGGTCACATGTGGCCTAAGTACTGTGAGCCTACACTCACCCTCCCTACACTACAGACACAGGTCTATACTGAAATAAATTTTTAATGGAACAAATATTTCTTTCTTTGTCATCGAAATGATCTCCCCATTCCCTACTTAGCACTAAATTTTCTCATGTCACATTGCAAAATTACATTGCCTTGCCAACGTAATCCTATCCTATCTTGTGTACCCGCCGTTCAATCATCCGGTACGCAACCCCGAGATTTCGTCTTTCCGATTCTGAATGCAATTAGACGACGCTGTACACGGCGATGTTGATTTGCCAGATGTCAGCCTCTTATGTTAGAATACTATGAACCTCTGCATCCAAACAAGCCAGTTCTTGTGGCTTCAGGGGCCCAATTCTGTGTAGCACCCTGCTTGTTCTGTTTATCTCAATTGGTGGCATGATGCGGGTTTGCTCTCCAGCCATGCCAACGGGTGACAGAACTGTCACTGCCACTCACTTCGTTAGCAGGCTGGGAAGGAGCTATACAGCCCAGCCGTCGAAGATAGGATACGTAATCCCTGAGTTTTTCGGTGTAAAAGGCTGCATACTCCAGATGTGTTTCACACCACAGAGCACGCATTCTTGCCATGTACCGTTTTCGTGCGGGCTCACTACTCTCGTATCTCTCAGTTCATGCGTCCACTCAAAGCGTCCGTTGTCATTGCCAGGGTTGTGATCGGTAGGCAAAATATCGTTACTACCACTACCTTGCCTATGACCCCTCCGAGCGGGTCGATTGTGGACACCCCCTCCTCGACTACCAGGAACCCAGTTTTGGGTCGACCAGGTGGTTAGCCCTGTAGACCTAAGGCCGGCACCGGAGGGAGAATAGTCTTTTCCTTCTGCGTGTGCCTGGGTTACCGGTCCGGTTTTGAACCAGTTTCTTGGGTAAGTGATGGCGCAACTCACCAAAGGCCTCAGGTGTTAGTGGCCCCCTGCTATTATTATTATTGTTATAAAAATGATTCTACTTTTATTTCGAAACATTTATTTTATGAACCTCTGTTCGAAACAGTTGTCAGACTCATTTCAAGTTCAGTTTCGTTTCCATCAGACCACCTTTCATGAACACCATTTATAACTGTCTGACCAGAAATTTCCCATAAATATTTTTTATTCATTTCCGTCCTTATGTCGAATATTTCGTAATTTTTTCCAGTGAAAGCAGACGGAGAAATATTGGGAAAAATGAATCAACATATAGAAAGGACCTTCGAGAAAGGCAAACCCAACACCAAAGTCAAAACGGAAATAGAAATACCGTCGCAGGGTGTTCACCAGACGCTAATACAACCCGCCCCTGACGAAATGACGAACAACGGGAATAGAAGATCACCAATCAATCTGAATATTCCGACAGACAGCGAAGGAAATTCGGTAAGCTTATCGTTTGAAAGAAAGCATTTAAAATTTATCGTACAGGAAATTTCAATTATCCGGAACTAAAATATACATATTTTGATTTCCCAAACTATACCGGATTATATTCCAAGAATATTCTATGAATATTTGGAATATATACGTTCGTTTTATGATATGCAGGGAATATTCCATGAATATCTAGTGCTGTGTGGGTATATGAAAGAGACGTATTCTATATTCGAAAATACGAATTGTTCGAAATGTTTGACAAGGAAACGTAGCTGTTTCTGTCTCAAAACGTATTGTGCAGAGACAACGTCGTCTTATATGGAAAGGCCATATTCTATGTTTGAGAATAAGAATTGTTTGAAATTTGGCACGAGGAAACGTAGCTGTTCCTGTCTCAAAACGTATTGTGCAGAGGTAGCGGTGTCCTATATGAGAGAGTCATGCTCTATATTTGAGAATACGAATTATTTGAAATGTGAGACGAAACGTGTTGTGCAGAGACAACGGAGCTATTAGGTTTGAAGGATGACTACAGGGACAACAGAAATTGTTCTAATAAACAGTATTATTACAGAAAATGTGCCTTTTATTGCGAAAAAGCCATATAGGATACCTCACCAGAGGAGACACCCAATGAATAAGGAAATATCAGAAATACTGATAGATGGAATCATTAGAAATTTCAAGCAGCCCGTGGAGTGCCCCTGCTATATCAGTAAAGAGTTTGATGAGGTAACGAAGACTGATTATTGCCTCACATACAGGATACGATAGATCAGCTTAGCGGTACTAGTATATACAGTGTTATCATCAAATCGAGATGCACAAAGAAAAAAGTCTAATATTGTTAGATCAGGCGATCTAGGTGGCCATTCAATTAAGTCACTACCTCGTCCTATCCNAATAAACTTTTGCCGTTTTTGACAAACAAAAAAAACCATAGAGTGCCTTGGAAATGAAACTAAAATTGTGAAAGTTAGTGTCAAGATACAGTTTTTCATGCTTAATATTTCAATGAAAAAAAATTGAGATTGATTGAAAAATGCACATTCTACAGGGGTGGTTCCATTTTAAATGGGTCACACTGTATATACCAGAATCAAATCATATCAATATCTGGTAAGAACTATCGATTGTTTTTCCCCTCGCACGATAATAACTGACAACCTCGGCTCATCAAAAATATTTGTTTTAATGACGAGTGCACTTTTATTTAAATGGGAATGCAAATAAACAAAATTGTCGTTACTGGAGTGACGAGAACCCACGACTATTTAGAGAATGCAATTATTGGTCCATTATTTGAAGAAGGAAATTTAAATTGCGAAATGTATGCTTACATGCTAGAAAGATCTATCGAACCTCGGATAGTTCATGAATTAGAGAGTCAGAGAGACATATACGGCAATTTATCCTTAGAAGAAAATGTATCACATTTTCAACAGGATGAGGTACCTCCTCATTATGTAGTTCCAGTTAGACAATGGTAAGATAATAATTATGATAATCAATGGATTGGAAGAAGAGGTCCTATTGAATGCCCTCGTAGATCCCCGGGCCTATCTCCTCTTGATTTTTCCTCTGGGGCCACCTAAAATCTGTTGTTTTTAAAAAGCATCCCGACTCAATAGAGCAACTGAAAGAAAGAATAATCCAAGTATGCCGAGCTATTTCCAGAGTTTCAAAATAGACTATTATTGTCTTGAAAAGAATGAAAATCATTTTAAACATATTTAAATCAATAATAGAAAATAAAATTTCATTCTAAATAAATAGTGTTTTATTTAATAAAACGAAAATTACTACATCGAATATAGCTTTGTGTGGTACCATTGAAGAGCATTTCTCAAAAGATTTTAGATAAGGTATCACAAGTAGAGGGTTATCATTTGAGAATATAAAGTTGGGGTGGCTGTGTGGCTTGTGAAAACAAGTTAGCTATTACATCATTTTGTTCCCCCCTCCCTATTATGGAAGTTGTTTACAGCGATTTCTTATATTTCATTTGGTTGCTCAGATATAGCCATTGTAAATTTTCAATTTGTCACTCTGTATATTTACAAAACGGTAAACGTGCATATTATTTTATTTCAGTTTCAATTGGTTTTTTCATATTGTCTCAACCGACTTATGGAGTTCGGTCGATAAAATCATTACAAATTACATAACAAAAAACAGTTTCAGTGCTATTTGGGTCCCTTAATAAAATTTCCGGGTTTTTCGACCTCACAGACATTAAAAAAAATGTCCTAGATCAAACGGAAGTCGCTATAGCAGCTCTTAGCTAGCAGGCTCGTACGTCCTGAAGAAAAAACATTCCAAGTCTTCGTCAATATTGAACTGATTCGTTCTTCACTATGGAGTAGTATTGATGGTAGTAACAACTGCGCTATAAAAATGACTTCAAAAACTCGAAGGAAGAAGCTTCACCATCTGCTCAATTGTCAAAATTTCTTTTTGAAACTCTACAGAACTCCCTATCTATTCAAAATGAAAGACTACGTTGAAATTAGAAGGTAGGTATTTTTGATTCATTACAAAGCACTGAATCAATTTTCATTTTTTTAAACTTTTCACAAAGCTTTCTGTATAGTGTAACTGAACCAAGGTATTTTGATCCAAAATTTATAGGATACGTAATTATCAGTAAAATCGACCGCGCTTTACGGCGCGGTCGGACATAATACTTTTCCAATTTTGAAATGAATGATTGAAACTTCATTTACCGCTCCACTTGCATTATTCACACGCTTTCCATTATTCAGCTGCCGATTCCAGTAAATCGAAAAACTCAAGATTACAATTACATAGTATCACCGGACCCATAGTTACATTAAAATTCAAATAAGCAAAAATTTAGTATAATAGAAATGTAAAACATAATTGAAACTGGTTTTGCTGGTTCAAATAATTCAGTTTACCTGCTTATAAAATGAAAAATGTACCTAATACCCGTACCCAATAGCTATTCAGTAGCAAAAAGTCTTCATACTAGGAAGCTATTGTATAGCAAAACACTTCATTGTGAGATTTTCACTGGAGAGTTCACAAAACCGTAACACGTGTTTCGCTATACAGTAACTTCCTCAAGCAAAACACGTGTTGCAGTTTTGTTAACTTTCCAGTGTAAATCTGACAATGTTACTTGAATGAATTATGGATTTTCTCACGCCAATTCCATCACATAAAATACTGATGGTTGCAGAAAAAACAACTTTTCGCTATTTTCAAGCCATTAAAATGGTATAATGGATAGAATTGATGAAGAAGTTATTCAAAAAACACACTTTAATGTAGTATTTCCACTTGAAAGTTAACAAAACTATGACACGAGTATAGCGGAACACGTGTCGCGGTTTTGTAAACTTTCAAGTGTGTTTTTGAATACGTTATAATGAATTTTCGTCAAGTATCAGTGAGTTCTATCATATTCATGAATAAGTTGTTGGAAAATGTGTTCATGAAATGAACTTATTTCGGTAGTAAATGTAAAACAATATCATCCCCGATCTTCGGAATAATAATTTTGAACACATGAAATATAACGAGCCCAATATACAAAATATATTTTCCTGAATACACCGTAATGTTTATCTACTCATGAAAACAATAGTGTTAATGTAAGCGTGTTTTTCTTTCTCAACAAAAGTTCATTAGAAATATTCCATTTACAAAGAATGTGATCTAAATCGTGCTGGTATTTTTGGGTAAAAACGAATAAGAATCGTAAAAAAATAATTAAATCACCGATATACAGATTCATTTCCTTTTTCTAAAGATATAATCAAAAATCGCTCAGAAAATAACACACCATTTCGGGCACTATTTCGAAGAATTTGATGCAACGAAAACAAACAATAGTTGTCTCTATGGAAGTGAATTTGATAAAACCGGATATCAATCACATTGTGATGAGGTACAATTCCGCTAACTAAGCCGATCACGAGTATTTTGATGGGTGTCAATATGTCTTTGTACAATCACGTTTCTGGCATAGTAAAGTCAGCTCCTCAGGAAGATTGAACACTGTGTGGAACAAGAAAGACTGAGGTTGCTAGGCTTTATCCACATAAGCCATCCACCTGGTTGCAAACCTGAACCTTTCCGGCACACTTGGTTGCATGAAACCTCGAAGGACGGTTGGCAACCTTTTTTTTGTACATACTTTCACAAAAAGTGTTCGACTGACTTAGCCTGCCTGATTTCACCTGGAAGAATGCCAGAAATACGCAACAAATGCCTTAGAAGTTCATCTGAAGAGTATAGTTTTTGTAAAATACACTTCAAGAAGTGGTTTTTCTGAATAAAAGGCATCTACAGCGAATTGATTTCAACGTAAACCGCGACTTTTGCACATGTACCGCTTTCTAAGCATTTCAAAGATTATTTCTGTAGTACTTGTGAATCTCCATTAATAATGAAAGATTTCTTTTTGTGTACGTAGTATCCAATCACTTTTGTTTTAAAGAACAAGTAACTCTTTTGTTATCATTCCGGATACAGATATGTACTCATATCATACCACACAAACTTTTAAATTTACGCCAAAAGTCACTTACAAGTAACTCTGCCCAAAGTTTCTCTGTATGAAATGTAATGTCAATATTCCTAGTCATTCATTTTTATTTGCACCCGTGATGGAAATTGTTTCGACTCTAAACGAAATCATGTCATCCATTTACTTCTCCTGCCAGAATAATCAATGTTGATTTCTAACCGATATTCATTTCCGCAGATTGAAAGGTCGGATAGCGCGTCCGGAGTTCAATATTCAGCTCTCGACATTGCGGAGTATGTCTTCTGGACGGGAGATGAAAAAGGCGTCACTTCGGCTATTGAGGAGTTCCTACAAGCAGGTTTGGTGAGTCCTTTTCAATGTACATATATTTTCTCTGACCTAGTAAGCTTGCTTTTGATTAGACAAGAATGGAAAACAATGAATGTATGGTCAGGCCACAGTATAGCTGCAACCAGTAGTGCCACTCTATCCGGAACCTTCAATTTTTGTGTCTCACAGTTTTATTCTTTTAGAACTACTGCGCATCCATAATGATTTATCAGCGTTTGACACTGCATACACTGCTCAACAAGTGAATAATAGACATAAACTGCTCAACAATAAAACAAATTTCATGGAAAATCAAATGGGTGTTTTGTACCAATGTAGAATATTATGGAACGCTTCGAATTTTTTATTCACAAATTGTTCAACTTTTGATATTGATTTGAAAATAAGTTATCGAGAAGTTAATGGGACTTGTAACTTGAAACATGGCTCAGAACTGGATAAAATGCAATATTTTTGCATTCTGTATGGATGATATAAAACGTATAAAATCGAACAAAGTTCGGAAAGCGTGTTGGACAGCTTCCAACGAATGAAAAGAATTGATTTGTTTGTCCAACTCAGCCGGTCCCCTTGAGATGCAACAACATTGAAACATACATGTACGCAGGTGGTTATTCTCAAGTGAATAAAGAATAATACTTACTGTTTTTCAACAAGTACCACTGCAAAAGTGTTCTCCTTGAAAACATTGCACAAATAGATGCCAGATTTGCCTGCAGGTGGTCACCTTGCTAGATGGTTTCAGCTAGTTGGTTTCAGCTAGATGGTTTCAGCTAGGATGCCCTTGTAACTCAATTCCTGTTCTCTGAAGAACATTGCACAAGGATTTTTTATGTAATTCAATACCCGTAATAGCACTAGAAAGGGAAGTAGTTGATCAGACAGGTGTTTGCCATAACAACCTACATGGGAATTAGAAATGGGTGAAACATAGGTCGGCAACAACTATCCTTTCTAAATGTTTTCCCAAAAGATATCTAAGCTTGGTGCAAGTGTATAAATATAATAATAATCTTTTTTTATGATAACACATACTACTTATCAATAAAATACTTCACAGAGAATTGGGATGAATAGGTATAAAAGAGTTAGGAATCTTTTGGTTTAAGTTTGATGATAGTCGTGTCACGAAGAGTTCTGTCGATGTATTGAATCTATTGGAGCCTCTGGAGACATCCTATATTTTGTTTTATGAGAGAGATGACATTGGCAGATCAAGATCTTCAGATGATGTGGTGCTGCAGGTTTTTCCGGGTTTTCCTGGAGCTGAAAATGCAAATGCACCACTGGAATCAATGAAATGGCCCCGGAGCGCCAAATTGTTTCTCTTAAATAAAGATAAACAACTAATTATATATAAACTGTTATCAGTTTTCTCAACGACAGCTCCCCCTGTACTCCTTCCTGCATGTATTCCACGTTTGTCATTCTAAATATTACGAGTATTCTCAAAGCTATTACAATCACTTATTATATGTATCGATTCAAGACTGTGTACGACACTAGGATAAATTATTCATTTTTCTATAGTATTTAATGCAAGAATATTTGATATATGGTTTTTCAATAAATTTTTGATTGCGTTTGAAAAATAATTCGATGACTTATTATCAAAAAATAAACTTATAAAATCTTCCGATAATCTGACTACTTTTGGAAATGAATGTTGACACAATTCATCCCTTTGCAAACTTTATCCTATTGGTAACTTCTCCGTTGTTTTCTTTTAAGACTCTCATTTCTCTAAACATTGTTTTGAAATACGAAATACAATATGAATCAGAACTTGGAATATTTCTCCCGAAGTGGTAATATTAGCCAAAACAAAACTTCTCTTCATCATGATTCCACAAGTGAAACTTCGTCAGTCTGATATGCCAAAATCAGTAAATTCCATTAATTCACAAAACGATAATTTCCATCTTAAAGCCATTCCACTAGATATATTTATTTTGTGAATCAAAATATGTCTGCTATAATGATAACATTGAAGCTGTTTTTGTACAGAACAGAAAATACTGGGGCGTCATAAATGCGGTTGATTCGATAAAACAGTATTATTATTATAGTAGGGGAGCCCACGATGCAAAATGGGGATTTACTCGAGCATTATAGAGACATATTAGTTCGCAAAGCTTAGATGATAAGAAGGAAAAATGTTATATAATATATACCTTTTCATCGGTGGGGGAAGCGGCTATATATTTTTAAATATGTAAAAAATACTGTTGCATGGACATACTTGAGAGCGTCAGATATTGATAGCATCAATGTCTTACGTATTTTTAATAATGTTCGTATGTTAATTTGATCGTTTGCATGATGCGGGTGGTTGTACGTAAGGGTTGAAAGTGAAAAGAAAAAACATTTAATCGATCGCGTCAGATTTTCTAAGGAGGTGTTAATTGCAACAAAAAAATAATCTGACGAATTCGATCTGACGCAAACTCGCGACCATTATTATAATGTGCACAAAAAATTAGTCATTTTGAAATACTCAAGCACATCAGATTAAGATATATATGGTTCATCTTTACGTCTAGACGTGCTGTCTCATAATCTGACGATTATCTAGAGGGATTCGCCTAATCTGACAATTTTGTTTTCATCATTGAACTTAAATAATTCAAAAGCTCAGGAAATAGCATGCAAATAAATACGTGTATGTTTTTTAAGTAGAATACTTAGTATAGTAGTATTTATAAGAAAATAATTTTAAAAACATGCTCAAAAATATTTAATTTTTTATAATCAATTGATTAATTAATCATCATCTTCATCACATACAAGTCTCTGTGATCAGCTGTGATGGTGTCATGGCAACAGAATTCAGAGTGGGGACGGAGTGGAAGAGTAATAGATAGAGAAAAAGTGAAAGAGGAATAGAAACTCGGAGAAGGAAATATAGGTATCACACACATTAAACTTCGTTTATTCATTGTCAGATTTTCGTTTTCCTTGAATTATTTCCTTCAAAATAAAAAAAATTAGCTACACACGAGAATGTCGAAATGACGTTATTTTTTTACAACTTTGCTGCCCTCCCCTTTCTTTACGTCACTCTCAAATTTTCAGATCACTGGAATATACACTTTTTAGCATGTTATCATCTTATCTGTAATTAATGATCTGATGATCTTTTTTTTTAATAATCTGATCCTTTATCTTTCACGGGCAGCCTTATATATGGGGCTCATATTTGGTGAAGGTACTCAACCGGGTACAAGATATCCCCCTGTATATTAATCCGCCGCGCTTTACTAAATCTTGAAATCCCCGCTTGGGCTCCCCTATTATTAGTAATCAAGTTACCTTGAAACTTTGTTGAAATACTATTTGTCAAATATTCTCAAGCATATCATGACAATATCATAAATTATTGTAACTGTCAACTATTGTTCGAATATTTTTCGAAATGCCGTTTTCCCATCAAGAAATATGTGATATGTTAGAATCCTACTTGGTTTGCCAGAAAAATAGCGTAAGATCACTCCAACACTACATCAATTCGTTCCCCAATGGTGAATTACCTAGGTGGCGTTTTTTTGCTGTGCTTCATCGTCTATTCAGGAACAATGGAAAAGTTTTTCAGAAGAGGAGAACTAAAAAACGTTTTGTAATATCTGCACATACAGAAATTGACATTTCAACCTACTTGGAGGTAAATTCAAATAATTCCATTAAAGATTTATCTAGAGAAATAGTTGTTCCACCGTCTGTTATTCAACGGAGTCTGAAGAAATATTTCTCCTTATAAGTTAAGACCAGTGCAAACACTAGAACCTGATGACCTTGAGAGACGATTGGGGTTTTGGCGGTGGTTTATGAATGAATGCAGACAAGATCCAAACTTCTTCACAAATATTATATTTCTAGTCCATCCCCACAATGCGCAAAGACGATTTAGTATTAATGTTTGGTGTGGTCTGTTTAGAGGCAGAATTATCGGTCCATTTTTCTACCATAGTTCTTTGAAGGGACCCCGTTACATTAATTTATTAACAAGAGTGTTTTCCGATGATCTTGATCTGAAAACTCGTCAGATGATCTAATTTCAGCAGGATGGAGCACCAGCACAAAATTTCAGTGGCATAAAAAGAATGTTGCGAGACTATTTTGAAAACAGACGGAATACTACAAATGGTCCTGTTAAGTTGCCTCCTCGTTCGCTCGATATTTTATAGCTCTTCATTCGCCAAAACAGAGAAATGTTTTGTGCTAGTGAAAGAAAGTTGCTGCATTCAATAGTATGCTTCACAGATTATTGAATATTCCACTGTCTGATAGGGATTTCCAGAAAGAGCTGAATTTGATCAAATAAATCGCGGTTAATAACGGTTATAAGGTAGATATTATAAACGCCATTCTTTCCAAAAAACTATAAAAGCGAGCCATGGACCTGGTCTACCCATATTCAAGATGCGATAACGTCAGTTATAGGACATTGGCATATTTGGGTGAACCAACCAGGAATATTGCCCGTTTTTTGGTGAAAGAAGGCGTAAACGTAGCTTACAGAACGAATAATAATCTAAGTAAATTTATTAAAAACAATAAAGACAAAACTTTGGTGTCGGATAGCTCAGGAGTATATAAGCTGACTTGTGGCTCTTGTCCAAAACTGTATATTGGCCAAATAGGAAGAACAATTTCTCAAAGAATTAAAGAGCATAGAAGTAGTTTTGTAAATAGAAAGACCAATTCCATATTTGCAAACCATCTTTTAGCAGAAGGACATGAGTTCAATCATGAATACGATGTGTTAAATTTAGAAGAGAAGAGTTTGAAACTCAATCTTCTAGAATGTTTAGAAATCAATAGATTCAGGAATTCGGGTAATTTACTGAATGATCAATTAGAATTGAATATCTCTCCGTTACTAATAATGTTTTCAAATGTGGAAAATGGAACATAAGTTCAGGTAATTTAATTCATTACAAACTTAGGTAAAAAATCAGGTACTTGAAATTCAGGTACTTCAAATTGTAGAATGAGGTATATATATAGCATTGAATGTGTGGAATTAGTTATTAAGACACGCCCAAAGAAGCCATTGTATGGCGAAACACGTGGTGCGTTTTTGTAAAACTGTCTAGTGAAAATCACACAATAAAGTGTTTTTAGAATACGTTAGGTATGGATTCCATCATACTTATATAAAAATTTCTGAAATTTCAGCCCTTCGATTGGCAAGCTCAATAACCGCTCTTTATTCAAAAACGAAGACTAGAACTTGAATAGTCAATACTGATATAAGTATCGAATATCTGAACAATCAATTCTCTTTTCAACTGTATATTCTGGTGAATGCGTAAGTTATTTTTATCCTGTTAGAATATTTGCCAAACTCTTGATCATAACGTGTAGATTAATCACAAATAGCCATCGTATGTAAATATTCATCCTGTTTGCTTAACAAAACAGGGCCGTACATGCCATTTCGTAAGGTAATAACAACATTCAAAAATTGTCCTTAAAATGTTTTCATCTGTCATTGAACTTAATAAAATTATAAAAAATACAAACATTTTCGCACGAATTAGTAATTTTAATTGAGGTATTACGGCGAATGCTGTTATTAACTTTTTAATTTGCAAGAGATTCTGTTCGTATTACCAAGATGAATCAATTTTATTCAAAATAAAATGTTGTCAAAGATTGATAAAAAAAATGTATTGAGATTCATCATGTTTACCGGAATTATATATGTTTTCAATGAAAAGCAGCACCATTATTATTTTTCCAGATGTCCCGTGAAGAGGCCATCGGCTTTCTCCAGGAAATCAAATACAACTTAGATAATCTGAAAAGCCATTATACCCAACTGGGGTTGAATTCTCTCCAGCAGCCTAAGGTGAGTGAAAATCCTTTCTATTCGTGATAATACAATCCTTTATATAACACATTACTTACCAACTGGCTTGTTCACAGCACGAAAATATCATTGAATCACGACTACGTTTCTCTCTGCTACATTAAGGCCAAATATCTTTCAGAGATACGAGAGAACATGATTTTGTGCTCTAGAATAATGCCAGTTTGGAGTCTGAAGTATAATATTATTTCAGCTCAATGAAAAATTGCAACAAAATCATTTACAATTCATAGTCTCAACACGTTCTGAATACGATAATGAATTTTCATTTAAATTGAAAAGGTTATATTTTTTGTGAGAGAGTTTTTGGGAAGAAAGGTTTGTGGCTACCACTTGTGGAAAACTCCAAAATAAACTCCACAAAAATATGTAAATCATGCAAAGGAGTTACTTTCAGAAACAAACTGAAAATAAAAACCCAACTAATGATTACTTTCACATGAACACTGAATTACACGAAGGGAAAAATAGTTTCTAAACAGCTACTTTCATATAAACATTGAATCAGAAATTTCATTAGTTCCGACTTCCATAAATTGATTTGAAATACCTGAAGGAACTAATAAAAAAGAAGAATTAAAAATGAATAAATAAAGCAATCATTAGTGAATCGGATAACAAAACGAAAACACTTTGGCACATTGTAAACAAAGTTAAAGGAAAACATAAATCTAACGAAGTCCTAACCGAACCAGAAAACATGGCCCCTGTGTTTGGACGATATTTATCAACAGTGATAACTGATAAATTGAATGAACATTTTGGTCAACAGTTTTCCACACAATGTACCACAGGTGAATTCAATCCTGCATCAATGTTTTTTGAACCCGTCACAAAGGACGAAATACTTAGGTCATAAACTCATTACCTAGTAAAAAGTCTACAGGTCCGGACGAAATTCCGATTTCAGTAATTAAAGACACCAGTGATATAATTGCACCAGCTTTCGAGCATATTATCAATCTGTCCGTATTGCAAGGCAAATTTCCCTCTAGCCTCAAATTAGCCTCTATAATTCTTATTTTTATCCAAGTAATATCGAGAATTCTGGACCAATCGCTTTACCAAGCATTTTTTCTAAACTGATAGAGAAAGTAATGGCCAATATAATCACAAATTTTCTCAACACATATCAGGTATTATGTGACAACCAGCATGGATTCCGTAGTGGTTTATCAACTGAAACAAGCACGATTGAATTTGTTCAATATGTCAACAACAAAATGGACTCTGGCGAATTTGTGATCTCAATTTTCTTTGATCTTACTAGAGCTTTCGACTCGGTCGATATTTCTTTCATATCTTGCAAGCGAAACATAAGTGGAACCACCTATTGGTGTGACACCCAAGTCAACTTGCCAAGTTTTTATGTCAGTGTTGGTGGTTTGACCAATCAACCGACAACTGTGGTGGCAGAGATTTGGGAAGCTAACCTGAAATGTCATCGGAAAACGAATCCACATGTTTCTAGAAATGATATGAAATCGAGAAAGGTTAATGCAGTCAACCTGCTGGAAAATAATTCCATGAAAATCGAAAGATAAATAGATTAGTACTTTTTGATCATTCCCATATTGATTTCAATTTAAGAGCCACCGGTATACAGCTGTTTCAGGCTATTGGGCATCGTCAGTACCGGGTAGGCGGTCCTCGTTTAAAGACAAAATGAGAAAAACCAAGAAAGTGGATAAACTTAGCGACTGGAGAAATGTATAGTAAAATGGATTAACAGGTTCTCTCAGTCAAAAAATTAAAAATCAAAACTCTGCTCCACTTTGCCAAGCTTTCGCTTCTAATCGAAAGCTTCTTCAGGGCAGTAAAAATGAGTTAAAAACAATAAATTGAACATATTAACTGACGGAGAAGGTAGAACATGTATAAGATTATTTTTGGTTTGACATTCGTCAAACCCAAATGCGTCTTTATTGCTTTAATCAAAATTTGATAGCTACGACTGAATAATTCCTTTTTTATCGCCGAGTCGTTCAAAGCCTACTTGATCGAAGCGTTGAAGTTTACATGAAAAAGCCTAAGCTCTATTTCAAAGATTCTACGTAAAAAGTGCTTTGGAGATGTTTTTATAGAAACAAGAAATTTTTGACAGAAAAAAACTTTTCGAAAATGCACATTTTCAAAAAACATGCTGTAACTCAGAAAGGATGATAGATGTCGATATGCGGTTTTCAGCATTATGTTTATCATTAAATTTGACACTCAGACACAGCCATCAGTTTTGAAAACGGTTTGAAAACAGGAGTTTCCCTTTGTAAGTGTCCAATTTGCCCCACTCTGTAATTATCATTAAATATGAATTGATTGAGAGAAAATGGATAAACATATAACAATTAATTGGTAGTTAATAGATTGCACAGTTACTAGAAATGATTACGAAATAGAGCAGGTAGAAAATCTACGAAACACTACTTGTACTATTAATAATAACATACAACTACATTCATATATGTTTGAAGGTGATTGACAATGTTTCGTGATGAATTTCACTAGTTCGGACTTCCATTGTCTACTATATAAAATGATTTGAAATCCCTGAAACAAGTAAAAAAGAATAATTAAAAAAGAATAGTTGAAAATAACAATTATATTAAGCAACAATAAACCTGATATGAAATGATAGTGAAATAACCTACAAGTAAAAATATAATAATTGAATTGAAAAAAAAAATTAAAGGAATGAAAAAAAAAATAATAAAAAAATAAAAAAGTGTGGAGATTCCAAGTCACGTTAGTTCACGACGTTTCGATTGTTGGTATCTACAATCGTCTTCGGGGATGACTGGGTCATCTGGGTCATGACTGGATTTTCTGTATAATTCGCACGCAAACCCGTCTTGCCTCAGCTACTCGTTCTTGAACCTCAAAAGTTCAAATACAATATTGGTTACAATTTCACTAACTATCACTATTTCTTCTCACCTTCGCAATTTCTTCACTTTGCCCACCGAGAACGTTGTTTATCAGTACCTATAGCAAGCGCCAAATGTGATGGCGAGTGGTCGCGCAGGTTTAGACTGTCCCAACTGAATTACTATTGGATTACGATAAGCCCCTTGCCGGCTAGTGTCATATCAGAAACCACACAAATTATTCAGACAATGCCAAACATAAACAGCATTGGTATGTCTTGCAAGAGGTTTAGTGGAGGTTATATTGAAAATGAGTGTGCGCATGGGGGCGGGCTCGCCATCACGTTTGGCGCTTGCTGTATACACATTGAGGATATATTATTCAAGTGTGTTTTCTAAATTCACAAGGAATAAAAATCTTGTGGCTTTTGGATAGTTACACTTACTATTTCTGAAATATAGAGTGGAAATCTTAAAAAATTTCAGTTTTCAGATAAATTAGTTGTGAAAAAAATGAGTAACTTGCTTGAACTCAGATTTGATAGTTTCAAGTGTTAAAAAAGGCAATTTAAAAAATTGGTAATTCATCATTTACTTTTGGATGTCTTTTCAGGTTCAGGAGATTTTACCAAAACAACAGGATATCAATGAAAAAACTGAATATTCCGAGAAACCTGAACTCAGGAGCAATTTCAATATTAACCAACTTCGTCAGAAGGCAGACAAGAAAAGGATTGTTGAAGACACACATTCTCTAACAGTGGATAAAAATATAGGTGAGTATTTCAAAATTGGATTTTAATGACTGTTGACAATTATGTAATGATTTCAGTTCACTACTAGATTTAGAATATATGTGAGGACATCGAACTTATTGTAGAAAATACTGAATTTCCTATAATCTGGAATTGAAGAGATAAACAGATCTACGGAATAAATTATAAAGTGTCACAGTATTTATGACAAAGTGAGCTGTTTAACAAAAAAAAACATTTGTTCAGAAGTTAGGAAAGGAAACAACTTGTATGAAACAAATATTGTTTCTAAAGTAATAATTGAAAAACTGTTGTTCATAAAACAAGGAACACACAGGGTGTGTCATCGAAAACGTACCGAAACGTACTGCCAGAGAAAAAAACTTTTGTGAAAAATATAAAAACATGTCAAGTTCATTTGTGAAAGAAACTAGTTTTGATCCAAAATATTTTGCAAAATTATCAACTCTGAGCAATTCCCATTCAGAGGAATGGGGTCGAATAATACCTCATACATTAAAATATAATTTTCTCTTCAATGTATGCAGGATCATTCTCTATATCAGTAAAAGCTGAGTTGGGAGTATTTTCGAGTGAATCCGAGTAAGGTAAGTGTCTATAATTCAGGCACTTCAAGAGCAAAAAACCTAGTGATGAGATATATTTTTTAGGTCATTCAGGGTCTATGTAACTGAAGTATTATAATTAAAATGTAATTGTTGTGCTTTTAAATATATTTTGGACGCTGTTTTATGGTCATGAATTAGACAGACACTTTCTTCAGAAAGATGTAATTTCAACACTTCATGCTCTTAATTCAGACAGACCTGTTGAATTTTGATGAATAAGAAAGTAAAGCGTATCACTGAATTTTATTCGGAAACATATCAAATTGAATATGTACAATTGATATTTTTAAGTTTAGATCAATACTGTATTATTCCTTTTACAACAAAATAATTACGTCTATAAGTCTCCTGTGGGGGTTTGATTTTTGCCTTGATTTCCACTCAATCATACCAAATCTGATCGGGTATTCGAAGTCATTTTCAGTTGTCAATTCCACTTCTCTGCAGACCACTAATGAACATCCTGCTTGGTTCCAGTTCTGTAATATTACCAGAAAATTATTCGTTTATGTTTTCTGGTTCCTTTAATTTTCATATTCACTTTACGTTTTTTTTTTTCTGCTTCAATGCCCTCACTTTCTTAATCTTTCTCCATGTAATATAGCTTCCAAGAATCTGAAGATTTAACTGAAGAAATGTTTGTTTTTCTCTGAGGTTTTTTCTTCCCAGTTTACCCAAAACAGGCTCTTTTGAACTGACTTATCTTCAATCTGATCACTGATTGTAAGACTCCTTTACAATGGAGTTTTATGAACTTTGTCAATGAACATATTTTGGAAGAAATTTATTTGGCTGTTTTTCATCCTGTATTTCATGTAAAATTTTGTTAACATCATCATCAAGTTGATTTTCCTGTGTTTTACGTGTAAACTCTTCAGTTTCTTCGGAAATCAAGCATGACTGAAGAAATATGTCATACCAGACAGATGTTTGTCCTCAACATTTTGTCAGTAGGTTAGCCATTTCACGCGGATAAAATAAACTGTGCTTTTGAAATTAGGTGTGATACTAGAAAATTTGCAGAAAACTGAGTGTTATAATTGAGTTTGAAAAATAATCAGAAAAAAAACTACTTTCAGATAGATGTTTCACAATTTCCGTTTCGTTTCAGGTAACGACAAAGTTATCGAAGATGATTACGACGAGCTACTGGAGCGGTTACGGTTAGCAGACTTTCTTTACACAGAGTACTCATTAGAAGAAGTTATTTATCAGCTGGCCAAAGTGATGTTCACACAAAGCTTAACACGGGGCAGTGCAGAGGCTCAAGAAGCTCTTCAGAAGTTCACTAACTTCTTGGAACTCGAAGCGGCTCAGGGCCATATTTCGCGAGCACTTGAGAAAAAAGTTCTTGGTGAGTATATTGATAATATAGTTTCATCTATGATTGGGTTGCTGAGTAGGAAATGAGTGCTGATCAAATCTTATAACTTTATTAAATAACTCAAAATTCCACTGAATACTATAATACTTATTTCACCTATTTATTGTCGTTTGTGACCTCATCGCTTGATCTAAGTTCTAAACTAATCTCAGACTCAACTTGTTGATATTTCTATCTTATGAAAGCACTTATAATTTCTCAAAATTGTTCAGTGCATCCTGATATGTTGCCGTGGTGTCATGATAAAGAAAGCCGGATGAGTACGTTCGAGCATATATTAGGTTGTTTCAGAATTTATGGCTAGGTTTATGAATCTACTTCAAAGTGTAATATCTCAGTGAATACTAATTCAATTCAATGGAAATAAGCGCTCTTTGAATCAGTGATTGTTTGGCCTGGTTGCATAAAGATATAGTGAAACATACCAGCCGCTGACTACCATATAGAGTAACCATGATCTTTTTTTTGTGGGTTTTCGCCTTTGGGAAGTGCCTGGGTGGCGAATTGGTGTCCAACCAGTGTTCTGGGCGCCACCTGTTGTCGTATCGTGACGATACGATCCAAAAAATGGTCGTTTTGGTTGCACAAAAGCAAACAAGAACAGAAAGCAATGAAGAACAGATTTCGAAACGTAACAATTTCTGTGGATCATTCAAATCGTGAGGCACCCACTTTTCAAGCTGTTTGATCTTTCCAATACGTTTTAAACCATCAAAAACCGCATGGGAGGTGACGACCAGTTCTTTCCTCATCCCAAGTATCGTTTGTGATGAGTCAGTCTTCACCAGAGTCATTCTTTCTTCGTATTGGATTACTGTAGGTCGACCATCTCGGGACTCATCTTGGAGGTTAAAATCTCCAGAACGAAATTTCGCAAACCAACGTTGAACAGTCGAACAGTTAATTAATACTATCATTGCCATATGCCTGGTTGGTTTTTCAGGCTGTTTCGGCAGTGCTCTGGTTTACATTTGTTTTACATCTTGAAAATCGTTATTTAAAGTCTTATGAAAATAATATCAGAATGGTAAACACCAACTTATATAGTTCGGAAAGTAACCTTCATTACAACATGTAGGAATACTTCATTGTCGAAGTTATCATATCTGTCATAATAATAATAATGATCTTTATTGGGTGAAATACAATATAATATCCAAAAGGCGAAGTTCAAAACTGTAGAACACTACAGGTTTGTTCTACCACTCAACCTCATAGAGGATAATATAAGGAGATTCGGCTGAACCATCTTAAAATTGAAATTTTAATATTTGGGTTGAGACGGTATACAAATGATATTTTTTATTTTCAAAATACTTCAGCAGTAACCACTTCATTCAGTCAGAAGTCTCATTCATTTTACTCGTAGATGATAATATGAAAACCCAAAAATAACATGTTCAACAGTACAATAAACCCAGAGAAAATGATAAGGTGATATATATTTTGACATAAATTGATTGAAATAATAATAATTTCATTAATCCAACTTCGAACAGGTTTAAATATCCTTTTAATTATCAGATGCGTCTTTCTGATAATGGATTAAAAATATCTTCAATTTCTGTGAACATTTTCACAATGAATTATCGCAAAGACTGGTACATTCCAAACATAAATATTTTCAAGTTATCAGGATATGATAATATACCTACAGTGCTATATTCTAAACTGTAACATATACGAAGACGATCAAATGGGAAAAAAGGTAACTGTCATCGGGAACAATACAATGATCGAAGAAAATTTACGAGGACTCTGGCCCTTATCGAGTTATACGGGAAAAATCAAAAATGCTGTTTTTCGTTTTTTTTTAATAGTGTTGTTATTTCGGAGAATATCAAAAAAATGGAAAAGGAAAATGAATTGCACTCGAAGTGTACTGTGGCGATGTAATAATAAATATTCGATAAAACGTTTCATGTCAACATGGTCACCATCAACTTTTTCTTTAAATGAGGAACTGTCTTTTTTTTACAGATATTGATAAAGCGATAAATTCATAATCCAAGGGTATATCACATTTGATATTTTTATAGCTTTTCATTTGAAATAAGCACCATCATCAGTGACAACAATCAAACAGAAAAACAATTTATTTTATCATGAGAAAAATGAAACCAATACAGAAAATCAAAGCTACATGGCAATATACATTAAATGCTCGAATTGATGACCTCTTTGTTGAATGCACATAAGTTGTCGGTCCAGACAATTTATATGGCAATTTTCTAGCATAATAGGTGTAATACTAATATATGCATCTCTTATTTTCTGTTTGAGATGGTCGATATCTGTGCTTAGTGTTGAAAAAACTTTAACCTTTATGTATTCCCAGACAAAAAATCTAAAGAAGTAAGATCTGGGTATCGAGCTGGCCAGTTAATTGGTCCATTGTTTTCAATCCATTTTCTCGGGAATATTCCATCTAAATGTTCCCTTACTATTGCTGCATTATGGGGAGGAGTGCCGTCCTGTTGAAAATATTGTATTTCATGGAGGATATTTAGTGGCAATTCATCTAAGTAGTCATCGAATTCATTGAATAGAAAATGAAGATACATTCCACTATTCAAATGATCATCGTAAAAGAAAGGGCCAAGGATGTTTGTTCCCACAATTTCCAACCAAACATTTATTCTGAATCTTTCTTGGAAATTGATTTCCCTATGTAAATGTTCATTTGTATTATTTCACCTTTATTGGATATTTCTGTTAAACCAACCATTGTTGGTGAATTTTGATTCGTCCGTCCATATTATTTTTTTACAAATATTTCCAACTTCCCTATTTCAACATCTTAACCACTTCGCAAATCGTACTCTCCTTCCATAATCCCTTTCATTGAGGTGATGAACTTTGCGAATTCTGTAGCATTTAATATTTGTTCTTTTTCAAAATAGTTCTGGTGAATTTTAGAGAAATCCACATTTCGTGGGCAATTTCTCGTGAAGAACAATCTTGATTAGCATACTTTTTTTAACTGGCCAATCCTAAATTTAAAAAAAAGATGTTTTCACTGTGTAAATTTTCATGTGGTAATATTTGCTTACCCATAACATTTATTTTATTCCTCACACTTCTAGTAACTACACGTTTTCTTGTTTCTTTTTGTCAAATGCGCCATAATCGTCTAAACATTTGGATGTTCGGAATACGACGATTCGGGTAAAGTTCAACACACATATTCCTTGCCAAAAGAGGATTTCTATTTGATTTTGCATAACTGAATAGCATATAACTAACTCCTTTCATCATTTGAATACATCTTTGATATGTTCATAACATAAACGTCTGACAGTTCTCAACAGATATCAACAACGCATTCATTTTTCCTGCCATAGAAATCAAGCAAATCCTTCGCGTATAAGATGGTAAATTAATTGAGATGCTCTTTGATCATACTAAATTATACAATAATCGAATTTTGACAGAAAACTAATATTTTTGTTACTTCCAGGATTAAGAATTATAAAAATATTACGGATTATAATTGATTAGGGAGAAATAAGTCTTGAAAGAAGGATTACGGCAATACAAAAATTTACAAAACGAAAAAGTACGAATTTTCATGTGTTAGGGTACCTACCTGTTGAATTTATTTTGTTGTCTGAATTATATTTTGAAGAAGTCGAAGCAATTTACAGAAGAAGTAACGACAGGACCGTAATTGTGATGATAACATATTGAATGTGATATACCCTTGGATTGTAAATGTATTGCTTCATCAATATCTGTAATTAAAAAGACAGGTCCTTACTTTTAAAAAAAAGTTTCCATTTTTTTTTATATTCTCCGAAATAACAATTCCGTTTGAAAAAAAACGAAAAACAGCATTTTTGGTTTTCCCGGTACAGCTCGAGAAGGGCGAGAGTCCCCGTAAATTTTCTTCGACCATTGTATTGTTACCTTTTTACTTTTTTCCCATTTAATCGTCTTTTTGTTTCGGTTTAGAATATAGCAATGTTACAACATGATAAAAGAAACGGCCTGTATATAATGCAGGTCAACATAATCAAATTGACGGTGTAGTTTTTGTAAAAAAATACTATGGTATTTGAAAGTGTATTGATTGAAGGTAACAACAAAAACATTATGATATGCTTAATCGTTCCTCATTATTTTATACCAACGAATTTAATTCAATGATCAACTATTCCAGTACCTACATCAAAAACATTTTGAAAACAGTAAACATTCCTGTGTTTGCATACGATATTATCATTGATATGAAATCGCAAATAGGTTACAGTCACAAATATATGAATATATTTGAAGAAATTAGATAATATTCTTAATTTGGTCATTTTTTCATCAAAGACGAATACAAAATTATAATGTTCCTTAATATTATATCACAGATCATTTTCCAGTAGTAGCCCCTTGCCACAATCATACCTTAAAAGCTAACAAGGCATGCGGCCAATGCAAATTGGGCGAATTTTGTTAAATCATGGATGTGAACGATGATACTAATTACTTTATTAACAGAATTGAAAATGCTTCGGAATCGACATTCGTGCTTCGGAAACCTAAATATTCTGAGAATAAAAAAGAAATCTAACAAAGTAAAGGTTTGTTGTTTGCCAACAATTGTTAGAAAATCCTAGTAATTTAGATAATCTACACCAATATAAACAATATGGTGAAAATAAAAATAATTCCAATTCCGTCCACAACAACGAAACTATATCATATAAAAATACGTTAATATTTTCGCTACTACAAGGAAAAAATGTCCAAAAAATAAATAAGTCGGATATTTCTATCGTAAAAAGTAACATATTGAATTTTTCCACATTCTTGAAACCTAATGATACAACAGATGTGCAACAAGGGATCTAAAGAATAATAAATGCCCAGGGGCATATGATATAAATTCCGAAAATAATAGGTAAATTAGCGTAGGTATACATCAAAAAACCCCTGGCGGGCCTAATCAATGTAATATTTGTAAAAAGTCAATTTCCCAAAAACTTCGAGACAGCTATGATGAAATAATTGTTATAGAGAGATGCTAGAAAGATGATTTCAGATCACAGACTAGTTTCGATTATAGAAACAGGGGCAGAAGTTTTTGAAAGAATAATCAAAAATGGCTTTACTGAATCTCCAGAAACCAATGAAATACTATCTCCAAAGAATATGAATTCAGATCTGAAAAATTACTGAAGATAAAATTTTCCTAATCAATAACATATATGAAGCTTTTGATAAAGGTGAATGTTCCATAGGCATCTTTCTGGACATGGCGAATGTATTTAATATTGTCAATGACGAAAAACTAACAAGTACAAGTAAGAAGACATAAGTTTCTCGGGATTAGATGCAGATCTTTTCAGAAAGTATCTTACGGACAAAATTAAACATGTAAAAGTTGATAATGAAATGAGTGGACCGCAGAAGGTAACAACAGGTGTTCCCCAGGAGATGTTTTAGATTCAGTTTTGTTTTAAATATATATCAACTATTAGGTATTTATTTTCTGTAGAAGCAGAAGAAAACCGATTCTCATTTCACACAGGAAAAATTTGGAAGGAATCAAAGAACAAAGCAGAAAAAATTTGGGAAAAAATTAAGAAGTGGCTGAGTGTAATGAAGTTGACGTTGTTGAGTCTAGAGAAAACAAAATCCACAAATTTTTCCTGCAGTGAATCTAACTCTCCAAAAATTTAAGTAAAATAATAAATGAAACTGATTTAAATTCATAAGCCAAATTTGAAAATATTGATATATTTTCATAGAGACTCATTCAATCAGCTGTATCCCTATGATTTAAGTAACGGTGAAAAAATCTGGAGCTCATCTGGATTCATTATTGTGTGTATGTTCTTCCAATCTCCTTGTTAAATACCTTTTGGATTTTCGTTGGTGTCAGATTAGGGGGTATTCATATATTTCCATGTGTACACTGTAATTACACTGGTAATTACTTCAACTGCTTTCAGTAGTATTTTACTTTGTGTCAAGTCCTGGTTATCACTATACCTTTGCTTTTGGTGTTACTGGTTGTATCTGAATTGTGACTGTGATTCTAGAATATGTACCACAAAATCCTTGTGTATTTCAGCGAAACTGTATTAACCTAATTCATTATTTACAGATGTGCTGATAGCTTCGTTATCTGATACTTTAACGGAACATCCGGAACTACTGGCTGCAGCAAGGCAAAGCATGGGACCAACAGCTTCTAACGCGCAAGGTCAAAATTTTATCAGAAAAATTTTGAACTCGAACCTAGATGAACCATCAACCTCACGAGATACTTATCCCTTCAAAGATCAAAACAAATTAAAGCAATTTCCCGAACTAATGAAAAAGAACAAGAATCTCACGAATTATCTTCCGTTTGATTTCTCAAAATACAAATTGTAAATGTAAAGATTATATCATAAAAAATGAAATATACAGTATATTGAAATATTAATCACAATTTATAATATAATTAAAATATTTTACGTTGGCTGTTGAATATATTTCTATCAGTTATAAGTTAAATATATTTATATTACCTACAATTAAATTTTTCTTCTCTGAATTTTCTATCAACAGAATAATTAATGCTGTTTATTATGTGGACAATTCTTACACAATCAAGTAAGAAACAACTGACTATATTTGCAAAATAAATTTTCCAGCAATATGTCTATGAAAACTACCAATATAATACTACTATTGCATTTATAATTAATAAAATTTAATATTTTATTTTCCAAAGGTTGCTAAATAATGAAAAGATATTTTATATTTACCACGAGAAATGGTAATAATTTGAAATAACACAAAAGTACGAAGAGTCAATAGTCTGCCTCATTCCAAATTTATATTTAAAAACAAACTTAACGAAGAAAATACCAGACTTCAAATACCCTGCAATATACAACCTGACAAATTTTGCTTCGTTAACAAGATACCAGACAGTAAAAGATAATTACTTATGTTTTTATTCTATGTTAAACATAAGAGCTCATAAAATGAAAACCAATTTTTTATGAGATATTAGTTTCCAGAAAAACAATTGTTTGGCTTTATACCTCTCTAGAATTATACAAAAAATTTGTGACATAAAGGCATGGAGAAAGTAAATAACATTACGAAAAACTCTTTACAAAGATGTGTAGATCATGCACGGAAGTTTATTTCAGATACAAATTAAAAGTTCTTCTGAAGCGACTTATTTGAAAAAAACCAAAATGAATTCAATTCAACGGAAATCATTTCATTTTGTACTCCAAACATCTGTAATGGAATTGAGACAAATGTCACACTCATCTTTGAAGAAAGTTTTTATTGGTGTCAATTTTCTCCTTTCTGTGAAAGTTTCCTACATTTTTTGCATAATGAGGGAGTTGAAAGTCACGCAATTTTTCTAGAATATCAATGTCTTCCATAAAATATCCTTTCAAACGAAATTCCTGTGACAAAAACAGATGTGTCTGTTCCTTAATTTAATTTCAATATTGAGTGTATTGTTTAATGTTCAAAAAGGTACTGATGAGGGAGTTAATGAGAAGTGCTTTCGGCAGAAATTTCGGAAAACACCTATACATCGATAGCTTTCCATGTAAATACTCGGTATACGTGGACTATTGGGCTACGTACATTCGATTAGCGATTTTTTTATGTTGGTACACTCGTCTCAAACATATGTTCACAGTTTCAGCTGTTTAACATGTTTAGTTTGTTGGCGAGAGCCAAAAAAGTTAGAAGTGTTTGGTTTGGCGATTTTCCGCTGTCGAAAAAAATATCATAATACATTTTTCTGCTGAAATGTAATGTATAATTATAAATATTGATGAATATTGGGTACATATATACATGTACACACATGAGCACATACTCAAAAAGTATGTTGGTTGAAATGTAACTTGCACATGAGTAAAAATAAAATTGGGCAATTAAATAACATGCATAAAAACACTAGAAAGAGAAAGAAAAAAACACATATGAAGATTATGTAAATCTAAAGAAATGAACTTTAAATGTTCAAACCAGTCTCGGATATACCTACACATTAGCACATTAGGTTGAATGGACTGACGCCTATCAGAAAACAACTACTCCCCTGATTAATACCACGAAGGGCGTTGGATTATATCCGACAGGCGTCAGTGCAGGAATCTTCACATAAAATTTCCTGCATATGCAATTGGCAATACAACGCCGTTCGTGGTATTAGCCAGGGGAGTACTTGTTTTCTGATAGGCGTCAGTCCATTCAACCTACTGTGTGGGTATATCCGAGACTGGCTTGAATGTTTAAAGTTCATTTCTTTAGATTTGTTTACTCTGCCAGTCTTCAAGCATAATACATTTTCTCTTCCTTATTCAGAATAATCAACAAATTTCGAATATGCAGTTGGTTAGTACCTCGTCCACTAGATGGAGTGCCATTGTGTTGTTCGCTCCAACTTAGGAAGAGGAATGAAATACTCTGAAAGAATTCCCAATTATGGAATATCATTGACTTTAGGTCGATGATGGCCACTATCTTGCACTGACGAGAGGCTAATGAGCCCGAAACCGGTCTGCAAGTGTGCCCGTTCCAAAATTGAAGGTCGACTCTTTCAGTTGTATTGCCAATTGCATATGCTAGAAATTTTCTGTGAAGATTCATGCACTGACGCCTGTCGGATATAATCCAACGCCGTTCGTGGTATTAGCCAGGGGAGTAGTTGTTTTCTGATGGCGTCGTCCATTCAACCTACTGTGTATGTATATCCGAGACTGGCTTGAACATTTAAAGTTCATTTTTTTATATTTGTTTACTGCCTGTCTTCAAGCTTAGCCCGCTGACTAATAAGAAAATGAAGATTATGTGTGAAAGTTATCCTCAAAAAAATTCATCTAATGTATAGTAAGCGTTTTTGACCTGAATTGCCTTCAAGTTTCTCCTAAAAGATAGTAGCGTGACACTTTCTGTCGAACTTTCAGGTAACTTGTACATTTTCACTCCATTATATATAATTGAGTTCTTATTTGACTACTTGTAGGGATAGCAACCTTCAATTGGCAAGCTTGTCTAGTATTGTGGTGAGGCTGAGTAGTAAAGGTACCAATGCATAAAATTTTGTGTAAAAAAATGGATTTCAGTTCTCAAAAACACTTGAAATATTGACAGTGGCATACGGTGACTATACTCTGAGTCAGAAAAATGCTCATAAGTGGTACAAGCTTTTCACAGAAGGTCGAGAAGATGTGAACAACGACGCACGCTCTGGACGCCGCAGCACATCAACAACCGATAAAAATGTTGACAAAACGAAGAAAATTGTTTTGGAGAATCGTCGAATCACTATTAGAGAAGTTGCTGATGCAATTTCGGTTGGCTCATGCCATGCAATTTTTTTGGAACATGAAGCATGTGGCAGCAAAGTTTGTTACAAATATACCGTGTTATGAGCATCGCTCAGGAATTGTTGATTGACGTCAACGGCGATCCAAATTTGCTTGAAAGGGTCATAACTGGCGACGAATCATGGGTATATGGTTATGAATTCGAAACCAAAGTCCAATCATCCCAATGGAAGAGCACAGGAAAGCCAAGACAAAAAAAGCACGCCAAGTTCGATTATATATCAAGGTTTTGCTCGCCGTTTTTGATTACCATGGCATAGTGCATCAGGAGTTCTTGTCACATAGTCGTACGGTCAATAAGGAGTATTGTTTGAAGGTGGTTGACAATGTTTCGTGGTGTATTTTATCAGTTCGGACTTCCATTGTCTAATATAATATAAATTGATTTGAAATCTCTGAAAGAAATTAAAAAGATTAACCGAAAAATAACAATTTTATTAAACAAAAAACTGAAATTACAAAGAAATAACATACAAGCAACAACCAAAAAAAAAATAAAAATTGAAGAGTTAATACAAGCTGAAAATGGAAAAATAAAAAATATCATTAACAAGAAATGAAACTAGGAATAAAAAAAATCCAGGCCAAGTTACGTCACGACGTTTTTCGGTTAATCTTTTCAATTTCTTTCAGGGATTTCAAATCAATTTATATTATATTAGACAATAGAAGTCCGAACTGATGAAATAAGGAGTATTATCTTGAAGTTATGCGCCGCTTACGAGAAATAATATAAAAAAAACAATTCATGACTTTTGCATCACGATAAAATGAGAAAAATTTTCCTTTTAAATATTCGAGAACAATTTATTGTTTTTCAATTTATTCGAATCTTCATACCTCTAACATCAGTTTGGGCAACAACTAATTCCTCTCATTTGAAACCTTTACAACAGTTACAAAATAAAATCATAAAATGTATCTAAGCTAAATCAGAGAAAAAGGATCAGCAATTTGTGCAAACCTAGAAAATTATTTGATATTAGGGGAATTACCATTTCAAAATATGCATGTTCATTTAAAATGTTGAGAATAATAAAAAACATCCAGTTTCCCAACCCCACAAAAGCAAATTAGGTCAAAAATGTATTTTTTATGATGGAGGTAATTTATATAATAAAATACGTAACACACCAAACGTAACCAAAAGAATGTTTTAAAATGAGATTGTCAATTTTGTAGTTTTACATATTTTTATTTGTTGTACTATTCTCAGTAAGTTCTTTTTTTCAATTTGCATGTTACGTTGTCCCTACCATAAACGTGTAATCTTTCTTGAATAAATGTATTATTATTATAATGCAACTGCTTACCTGTCATTGCTTGTTCATAAATTTTTGGCCAAAGACAACACCATAATCATGCCTCAGCCATCTTATTCAGCAGACTTGCCCCCCTTTGACCGTTTTCTGTTCCGAAATTAAAAAACTCCTTGAAAGGACGGCATTTTTCGACGATTGAGGGGATAAAAACTGAATTGCTGCTCAAGCTCAAGAACCAAAAAGTGCAAATCAGAACTGTTTTGAGGATTGGAAAACACACGGGCACAAGTTATATCTGAGGAGGACTAGTTCGGAGGGGACCAAAATGAAATTGATGAATATTTTTTGAGAAAAATTAAAATTCACCTTATTTTTGAACAGACAGCGTATTTATGAATAATAGTATAAACCAAAATTATTATAGGTACCTATGAATTGTGAGTTCCATCATTTGAATAAAATGACAATATTATTAATGGAAGTCAAAATCCACAAGTCAATTATTGAATGAAACTACTTCTCACATCACTCATAGAGTATATTTAATACAACTAAACTTATCACAGAAATTTTAATTCGATAATGAAACAAACATTTGTACAGGGTGATCCAGAAATAATTAATATATCAATGGGTGCCTACGCCATTATTCTAATGCAAATTGATGAAAATTACATACATGCTGAAACTGATAAATATAGATGTAAGGTACTGAATTAACATGTTTTTGTCAACGGTCAAACTCTACATTGAACATGTGAAACTGCTTTATATTGTTACATTGATATTAAAAATTTTATAGATAAAACACACAACGACAATACACTTCGTATCAAAAAAACTATGTACAATCATAAAAAATATTGTATACTAGTCATTGAGCAATTAGAATATTTCTTAATACTCTGCTTCTCACCACATGATACTAAAATATGAATCAAATATTGCACATCCGATGAGTCTGCCAGAAGGAGCTGAAAGAATACTTTTTTTCATAATGGACAGTTCCTACCTGTGATTTAGATGATTGACAGTTTGAACTATCCATTAACTCTGTGACCTTTCAGCACATCCCCAACAGCACATGCAAAACTTTTATCAAATATCCTTCAACTTTTCCAAGTAATTATAAATATTGAAGGAATGCCATTCATTTTTTTTTATTTTTCAATTATTGCTCATTTCGCTGATATGTATATTTAACATAAATGAACGAAAAAGATTGTTAGTGCTGTGAAAATAGTTTTTGGAAAATATTTGAAATTGAAAAATTATCTATTGTCATATCAGAAATGACGTCATCATTTTGAACTTTTTTTATATATATATATATATAGGCCACTATCTTGCACTGACGAGAGGCTAATGAGCTGTAATAAAAATAAAAATATGCTTTGAATCAACCTCAAATATTTCCAACGTTTCTCGTACATGAAAATCCCAAACAACAATGTATAATATATAAAATAATCCGTTCAAGTGTTTTTACAAATCACACCAAAGTCAAAGAACATGAATGTGCATATGTAAAAACTCAATTACATAAAATTACTGCTTTATCACATAAAACACTACATTTCAAATGCCACACTAACAGAATAACGCTGCTTATGCTTCGGAATTGGATTCATCGTCTTTTGTTAAATCCCTTGATCCAAACGGGCTAGCCATACTTTGGTAGTGAGGCTTCAAATTATGGATGGGTCTGGTATAGTCAAGATGATCGTATTCCACATCTATAAATGCAACAATAAGTATAGTATTGGAAACAGAAGATGTGCTGGTTTGTATTTCGATATTACATTATTTGTATGTTCTTCGGAAACTCACATTTCGGAAACTCAAAAATGTTCAGTTAAAAAAAAAAATGTGTTTGTCACTAACTATATGCGTGACTGTATAATAAAAAATATTAAGCAGTGGGTTAAGCTGTATACAAAAGTATGATATTGAATACAAAAAAAGCTAGGAATGCTCATAAGACGATGAGATGCGTTGAAATATCCCTGAAAAGTAAATGTTTATGTTTATAAGAATATTTGGTTCACAGATAACAAATTTTGCCCTCTGTTTTTGATAGTTCTTCTATATTAGGTCTACTTTAAACTGTAATATTTTAGTAAATACGAGGGTTGCCTTTTTTATTTCGGGATTAGAGAACAAAAACAATTATTTATCATCGAAAATTACTTTTTTGTTTTTCAAAATATTCGCCATGAAGATCTATACACTTTTGCATACGTTTGAATCAATTGTCGAAGCACTTTTGCCACTCTGATTGAGGTATCTTCAAAACATGCATTCTGAATGCAGCAACTGTTCTTCAGGTGTCGAAAAACGTTGGCCTCTCAGTTTGTTTTTTACGTGCGGGAATAAAAAGAAGTCATTCGGTGCCAAGTCAGGACTATACTGCGGATGACTTATCAAATCGATGTTTTGGGTGCTCAAAAATGCAGTTGTTTGAGCCGATGTGTGAGAGCTCGCATTGTCGTGGTGAAGAGTGATCCGTCTTCGGCGGTTGGTTTTCCTGATTTCTTGGAAGACAACTGGCAAACAAATGGTTGTGTATCACTCAGAATTGACCAAAAAACGAAAAAACGAAAAAACAGGCGACCACGATTGAATTCACCATACCATCGATAAACACTGGTCCCTGATGGAGCTTCATCGCCAAAAATTGAATCAAGTTCATCCATGCACTGTTGCTGAGTTAATCCACGTGGAAAGTTGTAAAACATAATCACACGAAAATGTTCACGATTTAATTCCATTTTTCGGCCGAGATGAATCTTTCAAGTTACTGTAAACAACACAAATAGCGCGCGTATGTCAAAACGTTCTTTAGTACGTATGAGCTCAAAAATGTCCAACTTTACAATAGAGCTGTCAGTTGCCAGATTGCAACACTATGGTTGTCGAATCCCGAAACATAAAAGGCAACCCTCGTACATATTCAATTTAATACAAATGAACCCCATTTGAAAAGGTGCACTTTTGCTAACGTAACATAAGTCGAACACACAAGTATTGTAGATATCTATTGTTACGTAAAAAAAATGGTATTTGAAAAGCAACATGCAAAACAAAAATGTGCACTGCTCAAAAGATCTCTGGAAACAGTGCAAGACATTAATTTCAACTTACTTGTCTATTTCCAAATAGAAATACCTGAGTGAAAATTCAGAATCTATATCATTCCTCAAATTCATAAATATTTCTCACTCACCGATATCTTTGACATCTTTCTGCTTAATTTCATCATAGACGTGATCCAATTTCTCAATACTATGATAGATGTTGGGGTTGGTAGCATCAGCTTCTCTGTTTTTCAGACTGCTAAGTTCATCTACACTTGGTTCATAGAGGCCTAGATAGAATGAAAAGAAGGTATCACATATTTTTCAATGCATACAAACAAAGGAAAAATAAAACGGTACAAAAGAAAAACTTATTTGAATCAACATTTTTGCTGTCCACTACTACTTAGAAATCACCTTCATTGTTAATACTCGTCCAGAAAGTTCTAGTTTTAAGAAATTATGGTGAAGGTTTAGAACTTGATGTACGCTGTCTGTTCAAAAAATAAGGTCAATTTTAATTTTTCTCAAAAAATATTCATTTATTCATTAATTTTTATTTTGTCACCTCTCAATCGGCAAAGCAGTTCTGACTTGCACTTTATGATATGTTCTTGAGCTCTCACATTCGGTTTTCAATCTCCTCACTCGTCGCAAAACACCACCCTTTCATGGATTTCTTCAATTTTGAGATTTCCCGGGGGGAAATCTGGTGAATACGGTGGCTGAAGCATGATTACAGTGTTGTTTTTTGCCAAAAAATTAAAATTCAACAATTTTGAAAAAAACATTGCTGCCACAGGCTTCATGATCAAAATTTATGAAAAAATTGCATGACATAAGCCAACTGATAAGCCGACATCCTCAATAACTTCTCTAATAAAGATTCGACGACTCTCCATAACAATTTTCTTCAATTTCTCAACATTTTCATCGATTGTTGATGTGCTGGGGCGTCCAGGGCGAGAGTCGTTATTCACATTTTGTCGACTTCTTATGAAAAGCTTGTACCATTAGTAAACATTGTTCTCACTCAGAGTACAATCACCGTATGCCACTGTCAACATTTCGGGTATTTATAACCACTTAACTAATGCTAAAGAGCTGAAACTGTGAAATTTGTCCGAGACGAGTCTACCAACATAAAAAAATTAAAAATCGCTAATCGAATATACGTAGCCCGCAAAATTTGAAAATTCACCTTATTTTTTGGAATAGTCCACTATATAGGAAGAATACTAGCACTTTCGGGTATACTCCTGACAGCTCCTACCATTGTCCACAACAAAAAATGGTGACACTACATTTCTTGTCCATATACTGAAAACGTTCCTCTCAAGAAAAAAAAATTCGACATTGAGAAAATTGCTCGAATTAACAGGTATCCTTCAAACGTAGTGGATAAATTGATTGAGGAAGGAATGAAGTGTCTTCGTTGAATCCCTGACTCTCAGATATTGGAAGTCCCAAACTTCTAAGTTGAACGAAAATTCACCAACGGATTGGTCCAAATTTTCGAAAATTTGAAAATGAAAGTGCTCATACACTTCAACCAGTGTTAACAATAGTAACGAGTTTCAAGAGATGACTACAACTGATCATCTCCTGGAGATACTAAACTTGGTTAGAGAAACGCACGTCAAGGGCAGCATTTTGTTCTGGTGAAGGAGAAGTGTTTTCAATATATTAATTTTTTGCTCTATTCAATTACAGAATTTCACAGATATTTTTTCCTTTTCAGTGACAATTTTTTTCACACAGTATCGAAATTTCACCGAACCCTACATTGATAAATTATCGGTATTATTGACTGACACTGTAAGATATGTTGTCAGGAATTGAAAAATTTCTGACAACCTGGAAAGTTTCCATTCTCTTTTCTTCATTATGATTTCCTACCACGTACTAACGGCTACATCCATCAATTCATCACACGATAAGTTACGACTTACTTTTTGCCATGTCATCATCATTAGTGGAACAGGAGGCCCTCCCGCATTGACGAGACTTTTCCAAGTTGATATTCATTGGTTTGTGTAAATTATTGATGATTTTCGGGTTATTATTCAAAAGCTGTTCGTGGTCTCTTTTAGCACCTCCTTGATATGAATAAACTGGATTATCGAAATGATTGCGATCTGGAATAGTAAACATTCATTTTCTAAGAAATACGGATAATGTTAATACAAGGAAAATCAATTAGATGCTAATTGATCAACATATACAAAAACTATCAGTAATCAAATCATAGCCTTCGAAAACTGAATTTCAAAATATAATGTCAAATTTGTCATATGCAGAAAAAATAATTTCAGAACAAAATAGTTCAACAACTTTACATATCTATCATACAGGCTGATGCAGAGGCCAACTCCAATCAGCCAGTTGCATGGGAAAAAACCTAAAACTGTACAACAAACTGAAGGCAGATCCAATACTGGAAATGCCAGTGGACAATACAGTCTCGCGGTATAATTTCTATGGAAGCTTTAAAGCTTCCACAAGCAGAGAAGACTCGAGAAACGTCCACCTGTTGAAGAGGAGGAAACTTGGTATGAGGACGGTTTAAAACCCAAGGAGTAGGATCCGGCTTATATGGAGGTAGAGCGAAGACAAATCACACTCAGCCTCGTACAGAACACAACAGTGTCGCGGACAGAAGTTGCCGTTATCGAACACTGCGCAGGAGAATTGTCAGGCAGAAGATTGAAACAAAACCATTGCCAATTCCTCCGACAGTCAGGCGGCAATCAAGGTGCTCAGCTCCTACCAAGTCTTCAAGTGACTTGGAGGGAGCTGTCTCATCACACTCACAGAATTAGGTTCTCACAATAGGGTTATCCTAGTCTGGATACCTTGACACAGAGCTAGGGCAATGAGTAGACCGATGCTTTAGCCGTTGAACGTGCATCCAAGGCTATGATAGTTCCAGAACTCTTCTGTGGGCTGGTGAAGACAAGCATAAAGACATCTATCAATTCGTAAATGCAAGCCAAATTGCAAAATTGGTGGAACAAGCTTCCAGGAATGAGGCTGGCGGAAAAAGGTCATTAACGGAAAACCTGTTAAACCACAACCGCAAGGTTGTAAGGGTAGTGGTATGTCTACAAACACTATATACTTGTAAGCTATAAGCTATATGAAGGAGCCAATATCAAGGCTTTGGAATTTCATTAAAGAGATTAAGTTAGATGAAGAACTCTGATAACCAAGGATCATCAAATTATAACATCTATCAACCGAGTTATAAAAGAGAATTTAACAAAATTCTGAATTCAAAGTAGAAATGTATTGACTTTTTTGAATAAATCAAGTTGAATAACTTCAGAAAGCTCAGGTAATGTATGTGAAATGAAAAGTATAAAATTATCTCACCTGGGCCAAATCCTGTTGGATCTGCAATATACTGAACATGCGCTATTTCCGTCTTCAAGTTAGAGACGCGTCGTCTATAGTAGAATATTACAAGAACTACTATCGAGATGAAAATTATAGAAACCATAATCACTGCCACTATTACACCAACTCCACTTTCTGCATTTTCAATTTTTGTCTGCACTCTACCTAGGATGTTGGATTCATCACATTTTTCACCAGTAAAACCATGCTTGCAGATGCAACCGTCGGTAGGATGACAGATGAAGTTATCATTCTCACACTCACATGGTGTCATGCAATGGTCTCCGTAATATCCTTCTGGACACACTGAAAAGAGTTGTCAGTATTAATTACAAATTTCCATAAATTAACAATTGAATCGTAGAAAGACAAACAGTGGTTGACTATTAAACAAAGTATCTAGTAGGGCCTCAAGTGGGGCCCGGAAATAGTTTTTATTGGGCGATTATGTTTGGTAGGTATTAATTAACAACTGCCATAGAGTAAAGTGGAGATTATTTTCTTGTGTAGCAACTCAGAAATTATATAAAGTCGTTAAAAATATACAGACAAATAATTTTGTGTACAAGCAGAAGCAAATTTTGAGATATTTTAAATACTGAAATAAAAATATCCATACAAAAAATAAAAACTAAATGAGATATCATAGAAATATCAATATATACTTGCATAACTTGAAGAAACAAGCGTGGACTGTTCGAAAAAAAAAGGTAAATGTTCAAATTTCGCGGGCTACGTACATTCGATTGGCGTTTGTTTCATTTTTTATATTGGATAAAATAATTTGCATCAAATTTTGTGTAAAAAATGGAAATAAGTGCTCAGAAACATTTTAAATATGACAGTGGCATACGGTGAGTGTACAGAAAAATGTTTACACAAGTGGTACAAGATTTTCACAGAAGGTCGAGAAGATATAAATGACGACAGTCGCTCTGGGCGCCCCAGCACATCAACAACTGATGAAAATGTTGAGAAAGTGAAGAAAATGGAGAATCGTCGAATCACTATTAGAGAAGTTGCTGAGGATGTCATATCGGTTGGCTAATGCCAACCAAGCATGAAGCGTGTGGCATGGAAGTTCACTCCAAAATTGTTGAATTTTGATCAAAAAGCCGTCGCATAAGTATCGCTCAGGAATTGTTGAATGACGACAAGGGCGATCCAAATTTGCTTGAAAGGGTCATAACTAGTGACGAATCATGGGTATATGGTTTGAAACCAAAATCCAATCGTCCTAATGGAAGAGCCAACACCAAAAAAGCACACCAAATTCGATCAAATGTCAGGGTTTTCCTCACTGTTCTTCGATTACCGAGGCGTAGTGCATCAGGAGCTATTGCCGCATGGTCGTACTGTCAATAAGAAGTATTATTTTGAAGTATGCGCCGCTCGCGAGAAGTACTACGAAGAAAACTTCCGGTATTGTGGAAAAAAAATCATGGCTTCTGCATCCGGATAATGCACCTACTCATTCGTCATTGCTTGTTTGTAATTTTTTTGCCAAAAACAACACCGCAATCATGCATCAGCCATCGTATTCACCAGATTTGGTACCCTGCGACTTTTTCGTGTTCCCAAGATTAAGAAGACCCATGAAAAGTCGGCGTTTAGCGACGATTGACGAGATAGAAACCGATTCGCTGAGAGAGCTTTAGGTGCATATCAGAACAGCTTCAATATATTCAATATTTTCAATATATTCCAGAAGTTACCTCTGACGTGCTACAATTACATATTAACCTGCTAAAATTTGTTTTTCCAATAACCAGCTTTCGTCTCCCTATGAACGACAACACTCAAAAGCCTCAACTTGTGCGAGCTATGTATTAACGAGGTCTTACATTTTGATGTGCGATCCCTAGCAGCAAAAATCGATCGCTCGACCACAGGATTCAAACTACCGTCGATTCAATGAGTAGAGTGAACAACCCAGCCGGCTACTGTCCCAAAAAGTTAACTTATCTGACTGCAACCCCAAGAAAACTGTTCTTCATATAATATATCCAGTCACGTCTTATCCTGAATAAATATGAATCTATATATCTCATACTTTCGATATCATAATTTTTTTCATCTAACCCATCCAAATATTTCAGTCGTAGTATTTTCATTATTCACTGCTTTTTCTTCTATCATATTTCAAATTTGTTACCACTTGTTTAGATAATGGACGTCCAAACATTTTAACTTTCACTAAGATATACTGTTGAGCACATTCAAACCAAGTTCTAGTGAGTTGAAAACATTTCCTTGTAATAAAATAAAATCATTCATATGCAACTTACATTCAGTACATTGTGTCCCAGTATACCCAGGTTTACATCGACAAACTCCATCATTTCTTCTGCATTCACCACCATTGAGGCATTTACAATGCTGGCTACAACCCATACCAAAGCTTCCGGGTGGACAAGGCGTTGTACAATTTCCACCCATCCAACCAGGTAAACACTGACATTCACCTAGAAAGTTCGACAAAATGATCTAGAGGGTACAATAGTTAATGGTTAATATGTATGATATCTTAGATAAAGGTAATAAAACTTTAGGTATCTTAGAAGATGGATAAAAAGGTAGTTTGGATTTCCTATATCAAACAAAATATGTACCTGTTTATTATTAGGCTACCCATTTAAAATTAATACCCCCTTCTTGTTACCTAATTTCAAACTACTATAAATATGTCTGTACATTCACTGAATACCATTTTTGTTTGAAAAAGCTATAAGAATAGCGAAAGGCATCACATATCACAAGTATTATTATATTGTGTATATTTAAAGTATTTTTTCATTTAATTCCTAGTAATTATGGATAACTATCAAGTATCGGTCAAATCAAATGAGAAAAAAACATGAAAAGGAGATTTTTTTTGCGTTTGAAGAAATGAAAAAATATTTCTTGAGGGTTAAAAATTTCGGGTGGTAGTGAAAAGGATTTTTTTAAGGTCATTGCTATGACATGCTATGCGGTTAACACCCTGAGCTTCCTAGGGAGCATCATAATCCTTTTCAACTGGATAAATTATGGTCGAAGTTGGATTCAGACTCGGAGATCTTTAGGTCAGGAATCAGGTTCGCTATTATTGTTAATTGTTGGTTCAAGAAATAATGTATAAAAATAAATTCACACTTACTGGGTTTTCATTATAAAAAATCTACCTGTAACATGATGACAATCTCCTCCATTTTTGCAAGAACAGTTTTGGATGCAGTTCTTTCCATATTTTCCGATTGGGCATGGATGTTCGCAAGTAATTCCAAGATATCCTGGAGGGCATACAATTTCTCCTGTCACGTGATCACAAGTTTTGTTACCTACCAAAGAAAAGTGATAATATTATCGGGGGTCCGTGAAATGAAATTCGTCGGCTGACAAATTATTCTTATATAATTCAAACGCAAAGCACTGTTAATTTTTTAATTTTACTTGAATGTTTTCAAATTGAGGTTTGAAGGAACCAAATTTTTATTGGTTTTTCGAAAAAAATAAGATTTCCAATACATATTGTAACGAATCTAAAGCCGCCTCTGACCAGTACACCGGCCGAATCATGAAACCGCCGGTAAAACGCTAGTCCGACTACAGATTTCTAGAAAGAACCGTTACATTATATAAGCCCGGCTTCCCGACCCAAGAGGCAGTTCAGAAAGTGAATCGACCGGCTAAAGAAGAAATTCAAATAGTGCAAATAAATTAAGCGTTAGTTGCTAAGTGTCGTAAATAAATTAGTTAGTGATATATTGTTGAAAATATGTTTGTTTAAGACACTTAATTCTTTAATTTGTTACAATATCAATTTTGACAAAATGATTTCATCCACCTAAGCAGTAAAGAAATTTATAAAACACTTCCTATTCTTTAATCTTCACCTTTTATTTTTTTTTATCGACGAAACTGATTGTAGATTGAAGGTACAATAAAAGTGAGCATTATTTTTAAAATTTTCAACTTGTTCATAGACCAAACTTTCAATGATTGATGTTGTTCGAAAGTGAATTTCAGAAATTATTTGATTTATTTAGATTACTTTTCTTTAGATTTTAAATTATTTGATTTACTCATGATTACTTTGAATACGTAGACATTTGATTCAATCACTGATATTCATTTTGACAAATTTCTGTCACATGAAAGTTTGATTTATCAAGCAGTCGTTATTGCGCAGCCGTTAGCGGCCGCATTTTTAAATTAGCAGAATTGATTTTCCGTGGTAAGCCAAGTTATTTTTAACGATTATTAGTAATAACTTTCTGAAAATTGACAGTTTTTATAAAATGATATCATTTTCTCCAGAGAACTAGTTTCTATAATTTTAAAAATCATCCGCAGGTATCTTTCAGTAGATACTAAGGCAGTGTTACATAACATATAAAGGACGCATCAAGAAACATGAAAGAAATTAAATTTTATTTTTGCTTAAATAGATAAACAGAGAATTTTAACATAAAATCGTAAGAATTTGAACAGTGGCTTTTGGAAGAGTGAGATAACATATAAGAGCACTATGTGAGAACTGAGAAAAACTCTTCATGATATTAGCCAGGAAATTACTTGTTTTCAGACAAGCATTTGAAGTAGTACTTGAAATATTGATTTTTTTAATTCAGAAAAACTGGCAACTTTTTATGCTTCATGTACTTATATAAAGTTTCAACAGTATCGTTATAAAAGTCTCATTTTTAATGTAGTGTGTGTCCAAATGAAGTGAGATTATTATTGAAAATTTCATAATAATCTCACTATTTTTAATTAATTTCAGAATTTACACTCTTTAAATGATATATTTGTCATACATGTTATTGTCATGGATATTGAATTTGCCATTCAATATTCGTGGTGGTATTAGCGAGAAAGTTAAATATTTTCAAACATGTACTTGCAACTCCTACTTCTAATGATAAGATATTTATTGTTATTCAAAACGTTGGTTTTATTTTTATCTGCGGATCCATAATCAAAGTTATGGTGATAAAACATAATTTTCAATGTAGCTCATATAAAAAAATAATAGTTTCATACTTAATTATAATAGAGAAACAATTACAATTAATATAATATATAAGACAGTACGTTAAATAAGCAAGACGAATACATTCAAAACATTAAACATGCTTCAGCAGAATTAATATGATTAATTCTTAATAAGTGCAACATAAACTACATGGGTTTGAATACTCTGGATTCCTTGAAAAATACCTGCAATGATCAAGTTGAAATTCTCGAATTATTCATTAATGCACATTTCAGTTGAGTAAAATTCCATAAATTGCATTTTATATAATTAAACTTTCAATGACAATTCGACAATGTTTCAATTTCATAGTACAAGGTTGGCCATTCACAACGAAATAAGGCTGATTTCTCATAGTTAGTGGTAATTTTGACAGAATTTTGCAAGTTATTCACTGAACGAATATCAAATTATAAGAATTTTTAGTTCAAAACCAATTTTTTAGATGAGTGTTTTTTTTAAAGAAATTGCCAATTATTATGACTGTCAGTTAAAAGAAATCAGAGTCCAAAAACAAAGCATTTGTGATTCATCACCAAACAGCGCTTTCTCGACCTGCAAAGGCCTCATTAGTGGTGCTAAGCTGAAGCACTATACTTTGAAAACAAGCCTGAATAGTAAATGACAATGACATATCTTCTTAGGGAAACTCAGTCCCCGAATATCAAACATAAACGAAGCTAACTAAGACAGTCCTTTAAATGATTGCTGGACAAGATTCGACCTCTGTCTTTTACTGCAGCTTTCATTAAGAGGCAACTAGATGAAACCACATCCCAAAAAGAAAGCATTCGTGACCCAACATCGGGCAGCAGAGTCGTGCTAGGCTGAACCACGAATGCTATGTTGGACTCGAAGACAAGCTTGAGAGACCTTGTTGAATCGTTTGTGAGCTCTGGTCTCATCTAGATGCCTTGCAGTGAAAGCTGAAGTGAAAGAGGATAAATAACAATTGAAGGCTGCTGTCCAGGCATAGCTGTGCAACGGACCGCCTTGAGGAGCCCCGTTTATCTTTGATATTCGTGAATTGAGACTTCTATCGATCCCACAGATCCCATAGTCGGAAAATTCTCACAACATACTGAAAAGCTTAACGTGTGGGTTGGAATTTAGGCGACTGTGTTGTTGTTCCCTGTTTTCTATAGGAGAAATGTACTTGCAATTAACAGACATTGTTGAACCTAGATGCCATTACAATGAGAATGAGTTAACATTTCCTCACTATTCCTTTGCTGTTAGTCAGTATTTGAACAGAAACTTTCCTGCTTGATAGATTAGTAGAGAGGACGAGTGAAATGGTCCGCAAGATCACCCAATTTAATTCGGTTAGATTTTTCAGTTAGATTTTGAAAATTTACAATTCATGAAACTCTACCAGAATTTCTATAATTTGCATCAATATTTTATTGCAGAATATCAGAACATTACACTTGAAATGCCTCAGAACCTCCAAAACCTCTTTGAGAAAAAAATTGTACGGTAGTAGGAGGACACCATTTTGAACGCCCCATTGTGAGGTAAAAACTTCAAAGCTATGTCTAGAATCGATGACTCTTTCTGACGCATTCTGGTTGATAGTTGTTGAAGTTTTTTATATCTTCTGCAACACGTTGAAAAAAGTAAGAAACATCTCAAAAAGTAACTGATGACCTTTCAAACAAGAGAGGATGAAGTGACACAGTTGAAAAAACGTTTTTTTTTTGTAAAGGCTAACAATGAGAAATCGGCCTCGTTCCGTTTTCTTTCTCTAACCCTGCATATCTACAAATTCATCCATTTTTGAAGAACTATACAGGGTGTAACTAAATAAGTGTAAAACATTTAAAGAGGTGATTCCTCATCGAAAGAAAGATAGGATCTTTCATATAAAGAAATTTCATTGAAGCATCCCTTGTTAAGATACAGCCCCTTATAGGGGGTACATAAAATTTGTATAACAATTTTTTTCACAAGCACTAAAAAAGTTACAATATTGAAATTAACCTGACGTTCAGCCAGAAATTTATTTGGTTTACCCCATGGTTGTAAGGGGTGGAAAACGCAACCCCTAAAATTTATTTCCAATGTACCTTTTTGTCTATTATTTGTTAACCATTTAAAAATTCATTCCCGTTAGCCTGTTTCATTTTAAACAAAAAATGTTTCTTGGGTTTTTTGCCCAAAATAAACCAATTCACAGCAAAAAATTATTTTACGAACAACTACAGAGATACATCGTCATAAATGCGAACTGGATTTATCGTTATTTTGTAGTTACTACCTGCTAATTTATCAATAACAAAACACACAACATGTAGAAATCATAGTAAATGTTCAATATGTCTACCTTCAGACATTACGCATGCGTCTAGACGTCGGCGCATTGAGCCACGTATTCGCTCAAATATTCCTGGAGTCTCTCTGATTACCCCGCACGCATCGATGATGAGGTTTCTTAAGTCCTCTACATCGCGAACAGGAGTACGATAAACCAAATGCTGTCAATGGCCCCAAATAGATAAATCGAGAGGAATGAGATTCGGGGAACGAATGTAGTTTTTCTCGGGACAAGATTATTAATTTTCATAATTACCACATATGGGCTGATGAAAACCCTCACGCTATTGTCGAAACTAACCATCAAGAACTGTTTTCTCTTAACGTGTGGCTCGGAGTTATTGGGGATTATTTAATTGGGCCTCATTTTTTATCTCCTCGATTAAATGGTGAGGCATACGTTTAATTTTTAAGAGAAGCATTTAACTGAAACATATGCAAATCAGTGGATAGGTCGAGGAGGACCACAGAACTGGCCCGCTCGATCCCCGAATCTCAATTCCTCTCGATGTCTCTATTTGGGGCCATTTACAGCATTTGGTTTATCATACTCCTGTTCGCGATGTAGAGGACTTAAGAAACCGCATCATCGATGCGTGCAGGGTAATCAGAGAGACTCCAGGAATATTTGAGCGAATACGTGGCTCAATGCGCCGACGTCTAGACGCATGCGTAAACTTTTTCAGTGCTTGTGAAAAAAATTGTTATACAAATTTTATGTACCCCCTTTAAGGGGCTGTATCTCAATAAGGGATGCTCCAATGAAGTTTCTCTATATGAAAGATTCGATGAGAAATCACCTCCTTAAATGTTTTACACTTATTCAGTTACACCCTGTATACCCAAAAAAATGGTACTTTTTTTACTTGAAAATAACTTTTACCTAATGAAACTTCGGGACATTTTTGCCTGCAACCAATACCATAATAACCTATATTACAAGGTGTATTGCATTCATCTCCTTGCCAACCCCTGGCACAATAACATTTTCCCGTATCCGGATCGCAAGAGCTATTGTTTTTGCAAACGCAAATTTGATCACAGTTCGGTCCATATCTCCCCTCCGGACAATTTGATTCACACATTACTCCTGAAAATCAATCAGTATGAACTATTCAAATTTTCAACCCTTCAAAATGAATGATTTCTGGGTGTAGTTTCTTTTTGCATTTATGAATGATATGAAAAAAACTAGTGAAATTTCTTCTGAAGTGAATGATGGGGGTCTGTGTTTCGGATATGATTTTTTTTTAAATTTGGTAAGTCGTTGCTGAAGTTGAAATAATACTCTATCATAGAAAATTATCCTGAACTTCAGAGTGTTTTCAACAATTTCATTTAATGCATAAACACTACCTTTTTCATATTTATTTCAACTATAGGTATACCAAATTTATTTTAGAATAATTGAAAACGGAAAAATATAACCATTCCAAATAATATTCAGACTAGGAATTTCGATTTTTTTGATGGATTGTGAAATATTTTTCATTATTTTTCATTTTTCAAATATGGTTCATTTAAACAGCCTAGTCCAGATTTACAAAAGAATCTTTTATTTAAATTTTGATTTGAAGATGATATCAAATTTGAATAGTACCATGTAATTTTACTATGCATCATTATTCATTGCATTATGAGTATGTATTTGCTTCAGTTCAATTATACTGGGTATATCTTATAAGTCAAACTGAATTGAAGTGATAGAGGAGGTCACTTATGAATAAAAAAGTTCATTTGACAATAATTTTGTTGTAGAAACTCATTTTTTTAGAAGTAACTGATAAGATTTTGGGTCTTTCTTTTGCAGTATGTTTTTAAAAATTTTACGGTTTATAGAAAATCGAGAGCTTATTTTCCTGTTTTAATATCTAAAAATTGAAAAATGTCTCCTCGGCAAAAAATTCATGAGAATGCATTATATCTAACATGCATCATTTAGTTGGCCCTGAGGTTATGATGTTTCGATGAAACATGTCCCATGAAACATGAATGACACTGCCCAATAATGAATGCGAGATGACTTTTATCAACTGCCCAATATCATGTAAAAAGTACCTTTCCACTCAGGTTTACAGCGACATCGCCCAGTCACATGGTCGCATCCCAAATTATGCCCATCTAGGCAATGGCAAACCTGCTCGCAGTTCACTCCAAAATAGCCCGGCTGGCATTTATTTTCACAGAATTCACCAGTGTATCCAGCCCCACATGTACAACTGCCTACCAAAACACAACAACAACATGCCAAAAACGAAAAACAATAAAAAATCGTACACCAAGTTACGGGAAATATTATTCAAGATTTCAGTTTTTATATCTACTGCAATCACAGTGTTAGGATTATTTTGCATGATGAAATATTTGAAATATAAATATACTAGTAAAGTAGTTTACTTTCTGAGAATGAGAACAAATAAATAATTATGAGATATACAGTGCATTTCTTTAATGTACCCCCCCTTTATTTTTTGAACTGTTCTATTGAAAAAATTGAAATTTGAGATAATGAAATTGATACATGAATACTTTATTTTGAAGTGAAATTGACAGATGAAACTTTCAAGATGGCGCCTGGGCGCCATTTGGGAAGAAAATCAAATGGAAAGGGGTATCTTGTGACACATCATTTTGAAGCTCCTGACGAATACTCCACAACTCTAGAATATGAAGACAATATCTCCACCTACTACAAAATGGTGGAACATTTAATAATTTCCTGAAAACAAACACATTAATATCGATTATTCTAGAAATATTCCGTTTTATCCGCCATATGGCAACTCCAACAACCCGATAAGGTTTGCTAAGTTATTTTTTGTTTATAAAAACGTCAAAAAATGTCAGTACGACAATGAACATCACGTTTTCCGGGAAACACATACCCAATATCCAGAAAAAAACTAACATTTGAGCAGGAATATTGGGAAACCATATTGCAGGACCTCTATTTATTAATCAAAATTTAACAGGGGAACTGTATTTGAATATGCTGGAAACTACTGTTGACCCTCTCATCACTGAAATCGTCGAAGTGAATCCTAATGAATTCGATATGGATATTGTATTCCAACAAGATGGAGCACCACCACATTACTCCAGACAAGTAAAAAACTATTTGGATACTACTTTTCCCTGTCGTTGCAATGGCCGTCGAGGTCCTACAAAATGGCCAGCCCGCTCGCCAGATTTGACACCTTCGGACTTTTTTATGGGGCTATTTGAAGCAAAACGTTTACGAAACTGAACCTGCTTCAGTATTGGATATGCGGCAGAGAATAATAAATATTTGTAGTGATATTGACGTTATGTTCGGTGTTAAATATCGGATAGGCTGTTCATATGTCACGAAGTTCAAGGCAACCATTTCGAGCATCTTCTGAACTGACCTTAAGCTTATTATGTAGTTAAATGTCAATGTATTCAGACAATTATTAAAAGTTCTGCCATTTTGTAGTAGTTGAAGATAATGATATTATATTCTAGGGTTGTGAAGAATTCGTCTGGAGCTTCAAAAATATGTGTCACAAGACCCCCCATTTCCATTTAATTTTTTTTCCCAGATGGCGCCCAGGCGCCATTTTGAAAGTTTCATCTGTCAATTTATCTTCAAAATAAAGTATTCATGTATTAATTTCATTATCCCAAATTTAATTTTTTTTAATTGACCCGTTCAAAAAATAAAAGGGGGGCCCTTAAAGAAATGCACTGTATACTTTATTGTCTAAGATTATATATCTCATATAGAAATTGTTTTAGTTATGAAGTGAGAAAACTTAAATCGTGAGTATCAAAGTTATTCAAAAACAGTTATGAGTTGTCCTTCAAATTTACATCATTTCATGATTTTAGAGTAGTGAAAACCTGAAAATGTTAATTTTTATAATTTGAGTTTTCTGTTGATCCTATAAATGCCATTGTCCCTTTCTTCGTATTGGAGACAGAGAAATTGAATTGTTACAATAATGACAAAACCTGAATACTAGTAAAGATGCCGTTGAGATTTGTTATCATTAAGATGCATGGAAAGGCTTTTAACAAAAGTGTCAAAAGTTCTCTACCTATCAGAGGAGATTAACCCATCTTTGTGAACTTATTGAGAGTAGGTGCAAAAATCGAATTCTGCGATACTGATTGCGTCTATGATGAAAAAGCAAAAACTGCTGTACCTGATGTAGCATTTAAACGCTTATTGTTTCGTTTCTATTGTATCCAGCGGCTGGAATCAGCAAAGATCTGCCATCTACCACATTCAGCAGTAAAAAAGTTTCAACCACTGGAAGCTGGTGGAGACATTGATTTGTTTTTTTTTGACATTTTCAATTAGGCACATGCGCAATTTTAAATTGTAATTTTAGGTTTAGTTTCCACAATTTCATATTTATTTTATTGCTATTATTTATTAGTTATTCAATTCTACAATAGTAGTGCTAACATTATGATAAATTACACAAGTAACTGCGCTTCATTTGTGGACAATTTATTATGAGGGTATTCACGTATATAGATGGAGAGTTACGAGTTTGTTCTTCACAGACTGGCTTACATTTATAAAAATTTATGATTGAATTCAATATCAAAATCTACCGACTTATTATACATTCATATATTCATATTCAATATTTTGTTCTTAAATAGAAAATTTACAAGTATAGTGATGGTAATACATTTATCCTAAAAAATACTGAATGTATAAAACAACAAAAAGTAAATAAAGAACATAAGATTGAGGTATTCTATTTGTATAGAAGATGAGTTTAGGATTAACACATTTTTTTGTATAAAGATGGAGAAGTAGAAAACCAAAACCTTTTTTTCCCAATAAGTAGACACTACTGAAACTATTTGTTAAATCAACATAAGGAATTTGAGTTGACTGAACGAAATTTTTAAAGCAATTATAATTTCAGTTTCAAGACCAGAATAGAATTGTTTCAAAAAGCGAATAAATATTGAGAACATTCACAAATTTCTAATCAAATCATGATTGTACCCCGTCATTTGAAAAAATCAGATAATTTTTTTTTCATTCCAGATTTAGGTGTTTCTATAAATCAAAAATATTATACAACTCTGGTGAGGGTTTTTGTCATACTTTATAAATGAAAATATATAGAGAATCACTTCAAATCAATACAATTCAATAGAATAATAGGGCTACATTGAAAAAATATAGATTTTGCTATTTACCATCATAGTAAGATAAAAACTATGTTCACGTGATATTTAGAAAAATGTCAACTAATTTCGTATATGATAACTAAAAATTATGTCAATATATATATTTCAAATATATCAACTGAAAGTTTCTTAAAAACTTTAGAAATATTCAGGGTGGTATCAATTACTCAGATTTATATTTTTTGCATTCGCACTATTACACCGCCATAAATGATGAATTGTATATATTACGTTCCTAACTTATAAATCACATCATGCTAATCCAAAAACTGTAATTGAACAACTTCAATGAATTTAAAATTTTTCCCGTAACTTGGCATACAAGTTCAAGTGTAAACATTAGTTCAATCAGCATGCACAAAAAATTATGATAACTGAAACTTACCATTAACAGGATTACAAGACGCACCATGTTTGCAGACACATTTCTGATTGCAATGTACTCCAAAGGAGCTGTTGCTGCAAGGACGATCACATTGCTGGCCTTCCCAGCCAGCTGGGCATTGGCACTGACCTGTTTCAGGCGAGCAAACTGCCCCGTTTTTGCCTGGGAAATGAAAAAGTATGGTTAAATAACAGAAGAAAATTTGAAAAGTTGGAAACTCAAAATCTAATGTCATGTTATTCAAGATAGGATAGAACGGATGATATGGAAGGTGGCTTATTATTATATACAGTGTGTCCAAGATAAGGATCCTAAGCATGGGAATCTCAGTACCTGTTGGAGATACAGCTTAGGTTAAATTAGGAAAAAGTTGTGTTCTTTAAAGCTTATTTACATGCCGTTTAGAAACTTGAAGAATTTTCATGGCCTGCTGAAATATTTGGGAAAAACGAGAATTTGACAATATCAATTTTATTTTTTTCTGACTTTATTGGAAAAGATATCAAAAAACGAATAACACTTTTTCATTGGCACTTTTAAGGTACTACACGATGGTATTTTTAGTTTTTATATCCGACGTTTCGTTTTCAAAAAACCATCATCAACTTTATTTTTTTAAATAGCTCGAAAAAAAAAGCACACCCCGTATCTGATTCCATTTTTTATTACGAATTCAACGATGTAACACATGCCATTATTTTCTTTTTAGTTTAAGGGAAAATTGCATTTTTTTCTATTTTTAAATAGTATTTTTAAGTAGGTTAATAATGATTTTTTTAAAGTAATGAAAACAACAAAGAAATTAACGCATTTTTTATTTAATTCAAAGGAGGTGTTCAAACAGGTTTCCGTTATTTTCCAAACATAAGTATGATCTTCTAACTGTAGAACTTAAAACATCACGTAACATCTCTGGTGTAATACTGTTAAATGCGACAGTTACACATTCTCGTAACTGCTGTTCAGTTTCAAAAGAATGTTGGTAATCCCGGTTTTTAACAAAACCTCATATGAAAAAGTCCAGAGGAGTTAAGTCAGGGGATCGCGCTGGCCAAGACACTTCACTAAAGGTTCCAATCCACCTTCCAGGAAATCGCTGCGAAAGATACTCTCAAACTTGTCTAGAATTATGTGCAGGAGCACCGTCTTGTTGAAACCAACAGTTATTGACCTGTGCCAGAGGTAAATTATCTAAACAGTCTTCTACATAGTTTTGCAATAAATGATGGTATCGTTCGGCGGTCAAAGAATTATAGTAAAAAAACGGACCTAGTATTTTAGTTCCTAAAATTGCACATCACTTATTAAACCCAAAACGTTCTTGATGTCTTGATATTTTCTTAACACGCGGATTTTGCTGAGCCCAGTAATGCGTATTGCGGCGGTTGAAGATACCATTATTAGTGACCATACTTTCGTCGGACCATATTATTTTTGAAGGAAAATTATAATCTTCTTCATACGCGCGTGTATACCATTCGCAAAAATTTCGGCGCCGTTCGAAATCCCCTGGTTTAAGTCCTTGGCAAATCCTAAATTTATAGGGGTGATATCTATTTTTACGCAAAATTGGCTACTCCTACATTATTTTCGATTTGCCTAGTTGATATTTCAGGGTTCTCAACAACTGCTAGTAAAACATTATTTTGGGCTTTTTCTGAAGATTCCTTTTTTCGAGATAAAACAGGCTTTTTAAATGAACCATATTCTTTTAAATTTCGAGCCAGCTCTAAGAAAATGGACTTACATGGCTGCTTTCTTTCTGGATATGTATTAAGATACATTGCTGCTGTATTTACAGTATTTTTGTGGCACAAAATGTAGCACGTTAGCATGTCAAACTTTTCTTCATGGCCATAATGCTCACCCGGCATATTCGACGATAATAACACAATATTATCTATTCAACAATAAACAATAATAACGACAACAGTAACAATAACTCTAAAAACAACAACTCGACAAACAGGCTAACAACAACGACAATTACTATTTTATCGTGTAATTAAATAATATTTGACAGTCTCGGTGACAGGTATTTACGTCAAAGCATTTGTTTGCAACGCCTACTTAAAAATAGAAAAAAATGTAATTTTCCTTTAAACTAAAAAGAAAACAATGGCATGTGATACATCGTTGAATTCGTAATAAAAAATGGAATCAGATACAGGGTGTACTTTTGTTTCGGGTCATATAAAAAAATAAAGTTGATGATGGTTTCTTGAAAACGAAACGTCGGATATAAAAACTAAAAATACCATCGTGTAGTATCTTAAAAGTGCCAATGAAAAAGTGTTATTCGTTTTTTGATATCTTTTCAAATAAAGTCAGAAAAAAATAAAATTGATATTGTCAAATTCTCGTTTTTCCCAAATATCTCAGCAGGCCATGAAAATTCTTCAAGTTTCTAAACGGCATGTAAATAAGCTTTAAAGAACACAACTTTTTCCTAATTTAACCTAAGCTGTATCTCCAACAGGTACTGAGATTCCTATGCTTAGGATCCTTATCTTGGACACACTGTATATACATAATATACCTGTAGTTGCTTTTCTTAAATTATCTAAAAAAGCTTGGGTGATGTCGCCCCTAAATTTGAAAATATTTTGTGTGTAGGTGATTTCAACATTGATTTGCACAATTGTCCAACTAATAGTTTTAAAAAACTATATGAAATACTAAAAAGTTTCAGCTTCACACAAATTATCAAGGGATCAAACAGAATCAGGGCAAAAAATCGATTAACTGTTAAAAAGCAAACACTCCACAGCACAACAAAACAATAATTGATATTAGCAAGGTATAACTAGTATCTGTCCTTAATAATGTAATTATAAATTTTATAATTTTTTTAGAGGAAAATGTATAAATAGATGATTTGAAAGGGTTATATTTTTAGGAGTGATTTTTTGGGAAAATAGATATTTTACTCACAATCACATTCCTGAGCACAATCTTCTCCAAAGCTGCCAGCAGCACAATTCTTCTCACAATTGACTCCCGTGAAGCCTGGTGCACAAATGCATGTGCCGTTAACAGGATCACACTGGGCGCCATTTTGACAGCTGCATAAACCATGACAACCTTTGCCGTACGTTAGAAGTGGACAAAGTCGTGAACAGTCTTGTGAATTCCAACCAGCTTTACATTCACATTCGCCCGTCCAAGGATGGCATCTGAAATTTTTCAAGACAAAATATTTTGACGTTTGAAATCTTCCACTGAAAATATCTAACCTATACGAATTTCATTCAGTTACAAGAATAACCTACCAACTTTAATAGACACTACAGACATCTTCATGTATGCAGACGATTCCAATTTTTTGATAGGTAATGAACATTTTCCATAAATTAACGAATAGACTATTAATTGAAAATATATTTTCCCCAATGCATATTTCGCTATTCAAGTTAGCATCTTCAGGATGATGTGTCTTTGAGAGCTCGATGATTTTAGTTTGTTAAAACAAATTGGTCAAAGAATTTGTATAAAATTTTGCATAAAAAATAAGGTGTAACAAAATGTGTGAAATGTTAAAGGCCTATGGTGAATCTGCTATAAGTGAAAACAAGAGTCTACAAGCGTTTCCAAGATGGCCGCGAAGATGTTGAAGATGGAGAACGTCCCGAACGTCCAGGCACATAAACAACCGATGAGAACGTAAAAAAGCGAGAGCAATGGTTAAGAACGATCACCAAATCACAATCAGAGAAGTCGCTGATGATGTTAGTATATGCATGCTATGAAAGTTTTGGGTATGAAAGGGTGGCAGGTGAAGGTTATACGTACTCACTTGTGTTGTTCAATTTTAGTGGCATAGTATATATCATGAATTCTTGCCATAAAATCAAACGGTCAATAAGGAGTATTATCAACAAGTTTAACGCGGTTTGCTCAAAACAATCCGAAAAACGCCCGGATTTGTGGAAAAACAACTAGGGTTTTTGCACCACGATAATGTACCTGCCCACACTTCACTTTTCAAACAAAAACACTACCCTAGCCTCCATATTCGCCATACATGACTCCATGTGACTTTTTTTCTCATTTCCGAAAATGAAGATAACCTTGAAGGGCCATTGTTTTTCAAGCATAGATTACGCATCACAAAGGGCTAAAGACTATCCCAAAGATAGAGTTTGAGAAGTGTTTTGAATGTATAATTTCTAATGGGGACTATTTTGAAGACGACAACATTAAAGTAGAGAAATAAATGTATACTTTTTTGACAAAGTTCCCGTATTTTTGTCCTTTCTTTTAAATACATGTTAATTGTGATGGGCCTGAATATAAACTGTTATTGTCTTTAAATTTTGTGTTTATGATTGACTTTGTAATATTTGTAAGGTAAACAAAGTTTCCTTTATATCTAATTGAATTTGATCAATATACTAATAGTGAATGGCGATGTTGTCTTCCCCTCACAGAAACAAAATCTATGGGACTGATAGGAAACTCAAACTAAAAATCACTATTATAATTTTTTCAGTAATGAATATTTCACGTTAATACAAAAGTGGACATCTATAAAAAAATTCAGTAAAAGAATAGAAAATTCTCTGAAAAATTTGTTAAATGTACTTACATTTCAGTGTTTTCACTGTTGCACTGACACATATGCTCGCATTTAGGGCCATAAAGACCTTCGGGACAAACCCGCTTGTGGCAGTATTTTCCTCCCCAACCTTTAGCACAAATACACGTTCCATTTTTGTTCGAACATTTGGCACCATTTTGACAGGAACATTTTTCTACGCAGTTCATTCCAAAGGTTCCCTCTGGACAAACATCTAGGCACTAAAAACAATGAACTGATTTTATGTATAATTCAGAACAACGAAACTACTGCGTTCATAAAATTCAGTTTTTTATTTGATTATTATTTCTACATGGAAGTGAAGTGATTGGCTGAGTCTATCACAAAAAACATTTGTAATTTGTGTTGAGAACTCAGAAAATCAATGTCATTGGCAACACTGCTAGGAACACATCATAAAACACTTAGACATGGTTACTGCTTGTTTGATAATTATAAATAACTGATTATGAGACACTCAAAAATATTATCCCCAAGAATAAAAAAGTAACCTTCAACCAATTAACATGCTTCCATCTAGAAAAGATATTGGAAGAGCTAGTTTGCCAGCAAATAGTAGATTTCTTGGTTGAAAGGAGAAAACAGAAACATTGATGAAAATAGGTGAATGCTGGAAGAATTGAATTATGAATATGTGATCAAGGTAATCAACGAGACACTAATGTACACACATCGGAAAAGTCTAGGGATATTTTTATAACATACTAAATATCATAAAAATAAATGCATGAGGTCGTTTAATTTCGATTAAATTGGTACACTCGACCACCCTGTAGATTTCTATGGGTTGAACAAAGCCTGCAAAAACGGTAACTAATCTTTTATCAAGTTTTTTACAAACTGTAGGTTTTCGGCTAAAATGAATAATCTGAAAGTGTCGAGTTTGTACATTGTATGCAGTTCTTGCTCAGCAATTAAACTGGAAATATTGTGCTTTAACATGGAACGCCATCACTTACCATTGGCTGAGATGAATAGAGCTGTAGGGCTTCTTCAAGGTGGCATGCGACAAAATGATGTAGCTCTTCGTTTGGAGGTCTCCCAAAGTGTTATCAGTCGATTGTGGCGGCGTTTCCGTGAAACTGGCAGTCCAGCCGAACAACATCCAGGGCGAGGACGCGCTACAACTGCAGTTCAAGACCAATTTAACCGCAAGAAGACAACCGACAATCACAGCACCTGAGTTGGTTAACGTGTTGCAGCAGACGCACCAGGTAACCATTGGTCGTGATACTGTCAGAAATCGACTGCATGAAGCAGATCTCCACAAAAGAAGGCCACTTAGATGTCCACCTTTGTCGAGAGGCAATCGCGGTAGAAGATTAGAGTGGTGTCAAGAACATCAAAACTGGGATGCAAATGATTGGGCCACAGTTTTGTTTACAGACGAATCCAGATTTGGATTTCATCCAGATTCACGTCGAGTAAGACTGTGGAGACGACCTGGAAATAATGAACGTTTGAGACACGTCCAGGAAGTCCACACATACAGAAGTGGTACAGTAATGCTATGGGGCGGAATCATGATCGGCGGCAGAACCGATCTCGTTTTTCCAAATGGCTCCCTCACAGCTCGACAGTACCTCGACACCATTCTTCTACCTATCGTCCGTCCGTTTGCTGGTGCTGTTGGTGAAAACTTCCACCTAATGCACGATAATGCTCGTCCACATGTCGCGCGTCTAGTGACTGACAGGCTCACCAACGAAGGAGTTAATGTATTGCCATGGCCAGCACAATCACCGGACCTGAATCCCATCGAGCATGTGCGGGACATGCTTCAACGAGGCCATACTTTGTACTGATTCCAATTTTTTTTGTATTATGATTTTTTTTCGGGGTGCCAAAGAAGAGCCATATTTTTTTTAGTTTTGCTAATATGCGCACTTAGTATTTTTGACCATTTAATAAATTTTGTTGTAAGTTACATTCGTTTAATAATCACCCGTCAACTTTTTTTTCCCTAAAGCGATCTAAAAAAAAATTATTGCCATTTTTAAAAATATCCCTAGACTTTTCCGATGTGTGTATTTAATTCGTTAAAATGGTTGCCTATTCATAAATTCTTTTCACATCAGACTCTCAGTTTCATTCATAAAAAATTAAATCAGGAAATACAGCATCTTATTCACAAAAAAGCAATGGTTACACGACAAGCATCCCTAAATTCAGTTTTCTTCAAGTCCTGAATGCATACACTGAACACCCTTGAAAGTGAAATATTCAAAACCAGTTTGAAAAAATTCAACTTTGTGACATAAATCTTCCACAATACTATAGTGTTGTTTTATTTACCATTGAAATTGTGATGCAATTTCGATTTTTAATTTTTGTTTTCACTCAATGTGAAATTTTATTCATATTTAAAAAAGTCTGGTAGTAAAATCTCACAAATCCGGCACAATTAAAAACCAGAGGGTGGCGACTTATTGGAATGTTCGGTTCGGAATACTGGATTATAGAGAAAAATAATAAATAAAATAGTATCTTGTTTCCGTTCACTTGACATTTTTAGCAACATACTAATCTCACTTCAAAACAACAAGTAAATACGTACGCACGTGCAGTTGATTAAGTTTTGAGGTTAGACTACTAGACGACGACGCGGCGACGAATGCATAGGCGTAGAGGAGCGACGGAGCGGAGCTGACGTATTGGTCTATTGAAGGCCCGGATTAGTGAGATTCAACTGTATTTATCATGTGTGATGGAATCAGCTCATACTTGATGAAAATTAATAACGTATACCTTGCGAGATTTTTACTGGATGGTTTACAAAACCACAACCAGTGTTTTCTATACAATAGTTTACTCGGGTGTCTTCATACTGTATGAATAGAATAGTTCTGTATGAACTATATGAACACTTTATTGTGAGATTTTAGTACACACACCTGAGGAAGCTACAAAACACGTGTTAAGGTTTTGTAAACTCAGAGGCTGCGTAAGGCAAAGGTGAGGTGCAAAGGGCTTCATGCCTCAAAGCCGAAAATAAATTTTAAAAAATCAAAGAGTACACGATATGAAAATGAGTGGAAAATGCGTGAATATATTTTTATCTTAGAAAATATATTATGAAATTAATTATTCAAATAATATATCATCTTTGTCTCATCTTAATTAACGTGTGTCGATACCATAAGCAACTTATGGTAAGCTGTTCAAGTCCAGTTGAGCATTACTCTTGAACATTTGCATAAACTGCTTGAGGAAGCTATTGTATAGCGAAACAGGTGTGGCGGTTTTCGTAAAACCATTTATAGTGAAAATCATACAAAATAAACTGTATTAATTAGTTTTTTGATATGGATTTTCATCAAGTACAGACCAGTTCTATTAAATAATTGAAGACACTTGATCTAACTTACCCTATCTCCTGTAAACCCAGGTTGGCACTCACATGAACCGTTGATATGGTGACACGAGGCACCATTGTAACAGTCGCATGGCTGGGAACAATTGACACCCCAAAAGCCAAAGGGGCATCTATTGGCACACACAAGACCCGTCCATCCGTCTTTGCAGAAACAATTCCCGTTTTCTGGATCGCACGTGCCACCGTTTTGGCATCGACATTCTGATTTGCATTCACTGCCATGTTTCCCAATCGGACACAAATCATCACATCTGTGGAAAAAAAATGATTCATCATTTCTCTGAATATAATAATATTAATAATCTTTATTGAAATAGGAAACCTAATATACATATCTATGAGTGTAATAATAACACTAGCACAATGAAATATAAAAAAAAATGTATGTAAAAAATTTAAAATTTAAACAATTTGAGATTTGAACTAGCATGTAGCCAGACAATGAACATTACATATAAAGATTTCAGTATCATATGTTAAGTAACATTTAAATAGATCATAAAATATAAGTACATATATACATCAAATTATTATTAAAACAGTGATATTTGGTTTCATTACAGATACAAATACCCTACTGAACAATTAAAAACAATAGATGATAGCCAAAAATGTCCCAAATAATTCCACATAACTATACAATTTGTATTCTATTACTTTCTTTAAAATTCTTTAAGAGCTCTTTCAAAACCTTTCAAAATGGATATTTTTTATTTCTTCCGGTAATTCTTCGAACTCGTGGAAGCCCTTAAAAAATAACGAATTCATGGTACTTCCGACTGCCGGTCTGTTTATATGTACATTATTGGAATTTCTTGTATTATAATTATAAATGTTTTTATTGAATTTGATGTAATCTTTAAAATATTCTGGTGCCATTCCATTTATAGTTTTGTATACTACAGTCATTGTAGAATAGTAGAGTCTACTTTCAACTGATAACCAATTCAAACAATCAAGCATACTTTTTATAGGAGTACGACGATTTGTTTTCAAGATTACTCTCATCCCTCGATTTTGTAGTTTTTGCAGCATATTTAATATATTGAGGTTAAACAAAATAATGACGCACAATAATCAAAGTGTGGTTGAATAATAGTATTGTAAACTGTTACTTTGGACTGCATTGACAAATTTTGTGGTATTCTACTGAAAAAATATAGTATTTTCGATATTTTCTTAGGTATATATTCAAAGTGATTGTCAAAATTCAAAAAATTATTCAGTTGAAAACCAAGGTATTTGAATGATGACGCAACTTTAATTTTTTCGTTATTAATATTGAGGTTTATACCGTTGATATCTAGAGAACTGTATTTATATTTCGTGGATTTATATTTTTTTACCTTTAACTTCAATTTGTTAGTGCATTTTATGAATAGATCTATCTAAATTCATATCGCTACACATAAGCAACGTATCATCAGCAAATAGGTTTATGAACTTAGATTCAATAAAAAGTTCAATATCGTTCAAATATAAAACAAAAAGAAGTGGGCCCAGAACGCTACCTTGGAGAACACCTACATCAATGTCTTTTTCATATGATAGTGCATCTTTGAAACGGACTTTCTGTTTTCTATTGTTTAAATAATCACTGAACCATTTTAACACCTTTCCATCAATCCAATACTGAGCCAATTTAAACAAAATAATTTCTCTATAAATTGTCTCAAAAGCTATTTTTAAGTCTAAAAATACAGCAATAACATATTTCTGGCTATCCAAGTTAGTATTAATATTACATATTGTGAGCTGTAATGCTGTTTCACATGAGAAGTTTTTACGGAAATCCAATTGATTATATATCAAAATTGAATTTTTAGTGATGTGATGTAATAACTGATCATATTTTAGCAATTTTAGTTTTTTGGTTTTGATTTATTGAATAATGTAATTATACAAATGTGATTAAACAAATTCACATGTTATAATTAGACATATATATCATACTTATTAAATCTATCAAGCACCTCGACACGAAAAATTGAAAAAATAAAAAAAGAGTCGGTAAAGAATGAAACTTTGCAATTTAAAAGATGTTTAGTAAATAATGTTTTCATGTAGTGTTTCTCTTCCAGCTACTACAGCCTCCACAGAAATAAAGTTTCATATAGCCAAAGTTGCAAACAAACTATCAGAAGAAACAAAAACCATCAAATATTCAAACAACATTTTCAAAATATTTTGAAAATTGTAGCAATAGTAACTGACTTATGAAACAAAGATGATGTACAGCCATTCCAACTCAATTTTTTGTTTGAATATAGTAAATTTTTCAACTTATATAATATATAACATGCTAGTGATTAGACGACCAGTACGTCTATTTCACAGAAAGTTTCTATTGAAATATTATGCATGTAATTTAGCAATACAGTCAATGTTACTTGATTCAGGTATTTTTTATCTGCCTCTCTCGCTTTTTACATTTCCTCTCCATTTGTTATAGATAAATATAGTAAGATATACTTGAGAATAAATGTATACTTGCTAAATTAGCATCGGAGCCTTTTTTCAGATTTCGAGAGATTTATTTTCAATATCCTTGCTCAACTTCAAGTAACAAATCTGTTTATATTAGGAATTTCAACAAAAATTAAATATTTAAAAAAATATACAACATATATAACATAGTCAAAAATAATTACTGACAGAAAATAATAACTTCAATATTGAGAGTTCTTTTTTTTTAATGTTTCAATTTGTTTTTAATTAAAGACCAGACTTTCATAGAGTTAGAAAAAAAATTAGGCTTGATGAGTGAGAAGAGTATGCAGAAGTTTAGGTTGAATAAAATAAAATGATAATGAGGTAACAGACGACATTGTGCATAAAGTGATAAATGAAAGCCTGAAAATTACAATGAACGTTGGACAAAAAATTGATTTTGCTCATCGAGTCGTTCATGAAAAAACTTCGATGTCTACTGGTACGTTTTTGTAATTATATAAGTAGAGAATAATGTAAAACAAAAAACTACTGAAATCCAGTGGCAGTCAACGGTGCAGATCTCACTAGAAGGCTGCAAAAAATTTAAAGAAACACATCCAAAAAAGTTTGGACTTGAAACGGAGAAGTCTATGTGAATGTTGGTAGAAAAAGGATGAAAATATGTGATGAAATTCAATCAAATAATATTACCTACTGATTCGAAATATTTGGAATTACACATGTACCTAATCGGTACAAATCAAACTTGATTTTTTTTTAATTTTTGGTTTGTTTTTCGAAACAATCTAATTTTTACTGTTTTGATGAGGTGAAATGTATTCAAGAGACACGTTAACACTACATGAAAATTGGCACACTTCCCGATAAATCATACAAGCCTTATACCTTTCCATAGAACTAGAGGTTCGTTGTCTTTCAAGCATAACAGTGATTGTTCAATGTTGAATTGTCATGGCTCAAATTTTAACTAGCTGAGTGAATTAATTTATTGTGTGAAATTGAATGGCAATGAAGCAATATATTTTGTCTTCACTGAATATCATGAAAATATGTTCAGTTTTGCTCACTATTCAACTCAAAATCATTCGAAACAATGCCTAAAGTTAGTGCAGTGAATTAATCTTGAAAGGATGGTATTTTATTGGTATTTATGGTTTCTTATTTTTTATTCAATTTAAACAAGCGCCATCATCGTCCGATTTTATACCCTATATTTAATTTCGATTTTCTATCCTATATATTTCATGACCTAAATCAGGTTTCATCAAACAAAACAATACTTTATTGAAAACATGAAACCCAGATATTTATTATTGAAAGACGCAATTATCTGGAATGTTTTTGATTCATTCCAATGTAGGACTAAAGTGTCATGTTATCTGTAACCACATTGAAAGAATTATAAATATTAGTTTTCTTGAACACACCTGAGAACCATGAGTAAACATATGCAAGTGTACATATAAATAGTCGTTTGTATTTATTTCAACATAATCTGATATTTGTCCTTGAAACCAAATATTTTGATTGAATCCTTATCTGTGGTATGTAAAGTAAGTAGAACTTGATTGAGCTTCTATAAAAATGATATCAATACAGGTTATTAAAAGTCATGTTGTATATGGGGATCTGTCTCATTATTATCTCCTAGATTTTTCATTCGATATTTGTGACAACTCATCTGCAGGCTGCAGATATTTTGTCAACATGATACTATTTACTATTCCTTCTGATAGATGTTACTTTGCATGTCACCTAGATCTGATTCTTGCATAAAATAATGCATATTTAAAAATGGATACAATCCAGCCACCAAAAAAACAAAACACAAATCTTTGCTTCAAAATTTTTGTGAGTTCAGCTATTTTTGGTGAATGAAACGAAATGGAATTCGTTGTATTAGCTTTGATTCATGAAGCAACGGTTCTCAAAGGGTTCTGAGAAAACGATCTCTTTTTCTTGACTTCTTTCTAGATATTTTGGAGTTCTGAAAAATTCGAGATCTTGAAAACAAGGCGAGATCAAAAGAAACACTCGAGTTGAAATGAAAATAGAGTGTAGCACTTCTTGCCCTTCTTAGAAACTCCACTACTTTGTGGGTGATTAGTATAATTTTTGCATTGAAAAAATTCATGTGTTATTCGAAAAAAAAAATCAAAACTGATGAGGAATTCTATCTAAAATAAGAAAGTTGGTGCCATAGTTCACTACAGGTGGAAGTGAGTGTAAAATATTTAAATGAATACCTAGTTTATTATCAATTACTTCTTGTTCCAAATTCTCAAACTTCAAATCTCTCATAATATGTCTAATTATTTCTCGTCAGAAATCACTTGGTATAAATATTACGAATAAACTTTTTACACTGCAATAATAATTCAAAAATCATTTCAATACTTACAACGGTCCCATATATCCAGAATGGCATTTGCATTCTCCGGACACATTATCACAGTCGCCATTTTCACATCGACACGTCTCCAAACAATCTTGACCGAAATGGTCCTTATCGCAAGTCTTTTCGCAGTGTTTCCCTATCCAACCTCTGGAACAATGGCATTCTCCGCTGAAGGCATCGCAAGTTGAGTTATTTTGGCATTCACAATGGTGTTGACATTCAACACCCCAGAGTCCAGGGGGGCAAGCTGGAAAGATGATACAAATGAAAGAAAATAATTATCAAATGATAGAGTCGGATAAAAACTAATTTCGAGTTCTTTATAAATTTTCATTCAGAAATCAAAATATGACATAAATTATAAGGGGCAAAATAAATAATCGAGTTGGATGCTTTATGAAGGAATGAATACATTTTATTTAAAAAGCCTGATATACAGGCTGATTCACGGTGGATGGCACATTAGACGTTTCTGGTGAACCAGACAACGGATCACATTGAAAATTTAATGGAGGGCATATTCGGACATTCTCTAGCCAACTAAAATATTTTCGACAATGCGGTGTTGCCGCTTCTATTAGAAAGCAGTAGCAACTTTGATTTTTCAAATG